CAGTGCTTTGCAGTAGAACATGCGCCTACCAAGGGATTGATGGACATTTCCCAAAGCCATTTAATTTAAGATGGTTGACAGTGATCAGAGAGGAGATTTTCATGCCATCTGTTTGAACTGGATTTGACCCTCATCCTGGACATGAAAGGAGATTGCTCTAAATCACTGTACCACCCAGTCCTTTAGGATCTTGTTAGATATTGATGCTGGCATGCTGCTGCACTGTTGTGTATTTTAGGGAACGTCATTTAGCTCTGAAATGTTATTGATTGCTCAAAAAGTAAACGGCAGTGTAAACAAACGGATGTTTATGCTGACTTGGAAATGTCTTAATATAGATTAAACACAAAATTTGAAAGAGTGTCTTTCGTGACGTGTTGCTGGCTTAAGCTGAATTTCATAGTTTTTGACTTTGCCAAATACTTCTGCAATTAAGAAGCATGAGGCAAATTCATACTGATTTATTCTGTATCCCACCATGCAGCGTACATCACAACCATCGTGCGGAGTCCGTAATCATAAATCGTTCCTCCAAGCTCTATTTAAGTGGATCAGTCAATTCCCCGCAGCCTGAGCGAGTTTTCATTTATCATAATAATAATAATTGACTGTTTGTGGGACACTGCTGTGCGCAATTGGCTGCCGCATTTCGCCCACAAATATAAGGTCAATTCACTTTACAGTCTATTCTGTGAAGCGCTTTGAGACGTTGATAAGACGTGCAAAGTGCTATATCAAATGCAAGGATTATTATTTTTATTATTATAATCCTTGCATTCAATATCCAATAACAACAACAAATTACATTTGTATATCGCCTTTTAAGGTCAGGAGAATGTCTCACAGCACTTCACAGGATTTAACCTAACTCGTATGGCTGTGTATTTCATAGGCGAACACTTTGATTGAGCAAAATAATAATAATGCTTACATTTGATGTAACACCTTCCCACTTCATACTTTTACTGTGAAGTTTAGGCGAAAATGGAAGCTAATTTGCTCACAACAATGCCTCCACAAACTGTCATTAAGTGAATAAGTAGTAAACTTTAATAAAAGATTAGCAATCTTTCACATATCAAAGATATAAGTTTTATCAAATCAAATTAATGCTTACGACGGATTAGTGATCAAATTAATGTTTACGACAGGTTAGTTAGGTTCACTACAATGAGCTGATTGGATCAATACAGTGGCTTTGATGGAGGAATCGACTTGTTAACGTGTGTTGATCCATGTTGATTGTAGTATATCTCTCTTTCCTCGAGATTGGTTATGGTTAGCTGCTCCATTCCCAAAACTCAGTCCTTTCTCTCACCCCAAAATCTTTGGTTCTTTGTACCTTTTTGGTCATGTATGTCAGTCTGTTCAGTTGTTGTTAAAAACACCAGATGCAAAACCAAGGACAAATTTTATCTTCCATTTGACCTTGCATCCATATATTTGCATCATATAGTTTTGCCCACAAAATATACAGTCAATTCACTTTGCAGATTATACTGTGAAGCGCTTTGAAACGTCTCAAAGTCGTGATAAAGTGCTATTTCAAATGTAAGGATGATTATTATAGTCAGCTTTTATGATGTAAACAAATCCATGAGTCTTTGCGATTTTCTTTGGTGAACTTAAGACACCCCAGAATTCCGGGATTGCTTACAGAATGGAACAGAGTAAAAAAAAATTAATTAAGGGAGTTATTTGTTGAAACCTAATAAATTGACTGACTGTGAAGTTTAACATTGGCTCATTCTCTCCAGCTGGTCAATAAATGTACGAGTTTAGCGTTGTGAGCTTAGAATGAGAAAACCCTATTGTAATGTCCCAGGACCAAGGTCAATAATGTACTAACCAGCAGAGAATGCAACACGTCACCCTCTTAAGTTCCCGAAAATTAGTTTCCGATTATTAATGCATTACTTTCTTTCTTGGGAGAATAAATTATTTTGTGACTCAGCTTTCCTGTGTGATTGTACTTTACAGCACAGCTCCATTGCATAAAAAACAGTGCATAAATCTAAAAAACATTGCATAAATGCCACTGGCATTTACAGCATTTCAGACACTGTATTAACAGTACCCCTGTCACTTCCTTATTCATGCGATGCAAATTAAATATGGAGCATAAATTGCAGAGGATTTGGATGTGACCCAATATTTGTGCTGTGTCAAAATGCCTTTGTTTCATGATATGCAGAGCAAGAACATTTCTGTTACAAAAGTAACATGAACAACATTTCAACTCTTCGGGTTCTGATCTACGTGCAAACAAGCATTTGAGATAGCAAAGCAGATCTGCAATAACTGATTATCGGTGTCTGCAGAGCATCTCTTCAGGCATTAAGCATCTCAGTTGTTCTAAATGTTGGGGGTCATAAAAGAGATTTAACTATTGAAGACTGACAATTGGTGGATATTATACATACATTGTTAAATGGAAATCATGCATCCAATTCTGCCTTGTTTCAAAACTGATGGTCAACCGACTGCAATCTATCCTCAATAGAAATAAATATTGTGTTCTGCATTCCGTACAGCAGGAATCGAAAGGCAACAATCATGATCACGAAAGTAAAGCACAAAACTTTCCACTGGCATCACGCTACTCTGTTGCACCAAGGGTGTGTGTAGGCGAGTTAATCTGTGTACTCCTGATCCAATCAGAAACTAGTGTCAGCCTGGCTCACTTAATTGTATTCTCGCTTCTGAGTCATAAAGTTGTGGGTTCAAGCCGCATATCAGGTTTTCCAGCCGATAGACTAGGTCAGGATGGTCCAACCTTTTGGCTGCTGAAGGCTGGATGCTCTTATTTGAGAAACTTCTGCTGGCAGCATGAGCAATATTTATGTGTTTCCCTTCCAGAAACCTAACAATTATGGGTTATGGAGGAAGCAGTTGGGCCAGGTGAAATGGAGGGAAGGGGAAGGGGGAATAAAATTGTTGGATCACCCTGGTAGGCAGACACTCCAGTGCAGTGCTGAGATTGTGCTGCTTTATGGCTGTTTGTAAGACATTACTGAATTCAAATTGGCTGTTGTGCTTGCCTACAAATCCACAATTACAATAACCTTACAATAATATCCAATGAAGCACTTCGGACATCTCAATGATGTGATAAGGCAAAATCTGTGTAGAAAGCAATTCCTTCAGGTGTTTTGTGACAGCAAGTTCTACAAACTTTTGAATGCTGTGAGGGACAATAAATGCTCAAAAAGATGAAGAATTTTAAAAAATGACATGACTGCAAACACATTGTCAAGTTGTGCATGGCGTTCCAATAAAAAAATATCGTGACCATTTAATTTTGTAGGGGCTAACTTTATTGCATTTGAAAAGCTTAATGTGTTGACTACGATGATAATGATCTCCAGACATTGGAACCATTGCCCATGAGCTTGCCTCTCATTCAGTAGCCCACTGACTTCAATAGCTTTACTGAAATGTCTGGACCTCATGAACATCTCAAAGTGCTTCACAGCATATTCTGTAAAATGAATTGACTATACATTTTGTGGATGAGTGGGTAAGTGCTCATTCTAGGTTTCCATAATCTGAAAATTAGAGATTGCTGCTGTTCTGGCTAAGTTGTCTATCGGACATTAAATCCTGTATGTGTCTTGACTTCCTTCATCTGAAAGTTAATAAAACTGAAACCATGGACAGTGCCTTTTCACCTCTGCTTCCATCAACCTTCTTGACCCTTCAATTCTCTCTTCCTCCTCCTTGCTTGGTCCTCCCAATTATAGTTGTCCAGTTCTTCAAGATGTTTATACTTTAGGATATCAATCCTACCATCTTCCTATTACAGCATCAAGCTATTTCTTGAATGAGTCCAGTGTTCTGGCTTCAACTATCCTTTCTTATTTGTCCATTCCAGATGTTGATTGCTCTCTACACAAAGAAATACTTCCTGGCATTCAAAATCCTGAGCCTGTGTCCCATTGTCCTGCTAGCTTGACATATTGTTCAAAAGTGGCTTTACTTTCTCTCTGTCCTGTTAATTGGTAGACTTGATGCTCAGCTTTGTCCCCAGGCTTTGTTTTGTGTACCAAGACAGTCATGTGTACCTCTGTGACTATCACAATCTCATATTTGTCTGTCAGGAGCTACTGCTTCAGAGAAATGGTTCCTGAACTTTGATTATTCGCACACATTTTTCTTCCTATTGGCTATGTTGTCCTGAGCAGAAAATTATGAACCACATGAATAGTGGGAATTCTAAACCGTAGTTAAGACAACCTTACTCATAAAAGTGACAGCATCAGTCAAGATCTGTGCCAATGGCGGCTTTAAGAGTTTATCAGATAATATTACTGGCAAGTCATTCTGGCGTGCAAAACTAAGCAGCAGGCCACAATTGCTTTGGTGGAAAAGAATACAGATGTTTTCTTGAAGTCCTGAATACAGATGTTTTTTCTGGCAGAAAAGAGGAAATAACACTTTTTGAAGGTAGCTCCAGCAGTATAGCAATAAAGGAAATTCCATTTGAGATCAGAAAATCATAGAAAAGGTGAGATCATTGATATAAGATTTTAGGTTTTCACAAGCCTAAACAGCATGTCTTTGGGGAATTGAAAGAAATAAGATTGTAATTGTCCCATTGAGCTTATGGATAAGAACAGGCAGATGGGATCTTGATTCAGTATCTTACCTGTAATAGGAAGTTATGTGTACTCAATGCAGGTATTCTGGACAATGCTGATGAATGTAGAACAGAATTATCAGCAAACGAATGAAAAGACTCCTGCCCATTAATATGATGATCAATACAATGTGTTCAGAAAACACATCTAAATTGAGATTTCAAACAAGTTTCTTTTTGATCTCATGTAAAATGTTTTCCAAAATCTTAACCAAATTAATTCAATTCAATTACACTTTTAATTTATTATTAGGCAAGTTTAATAGCACATCCTTATGATGTGTAATTTATTGGGAGTGTTCCCTGAATTTTTATTTGTATAAGGTTTAGCCGAATTTAAAGGGTTTTTATTTTCTTGCAGGTGTAACTGGGCTAGTGAGCATCGATGAAAATGGTGATCGAGACATTGACTTTAGTCTCTGGGACATGGTCAACACAGAAACGGGGGAATACGAGGTCAGTATTTTTCTATGTTCCATGTGAATACTGGTTTGTAAAGAGATTAGATGACCACAGAGCATGAATTGAGTCTTAGACTGCCGACAGCTATTGATTAAACTAAGAGCTTAAAACAAAACATGTAGATGATAATTAGCACTTTTATCACATTACCAGCCATGTTTTCACCTTAAATTAAATTAAAAATGAAATTAAAAATTTAAAATACTTATGTCAGTGACTCGAGAAGAAATAGAAGTCCAGTGGAATCCGTTTTAGGCGGACGCCAGGTAAATCAAACAAAAAGCCCAATTCATTTGTATTCTTACTTGTTTAGAATTTGCCTGTTAATTCAGACAAAAATCTGGTTAGTCCGGGTAAAATGCTGAATATATTTGCTCGGGCCTTCTGTGTCTCCAGGATGTAGATGAGAGGAGTCTATGATTAACTGACAGTGGACTCCAGCCATTTACAAGTTTCTGGAGTTGGGCTGTCAATCAGTGGGGGGGGGGGGGGGGGGGGTGTGCGGAGGAACGGGGAAGAACAAGGGAGGGAATATTGAAATCAATTGACAGCTGAGCCACTTGTGATTGGGTGGAGTTCCCATCCATTCACAGGGGGCCGAAAGTTGTCAAATCACCTCAGCGCCGCTGCTAACTGAACCCCTTCTCATCCAATGGGATTGGCAATGGGAGGGAGGAAGCAGCACAATGGTTATTTGTGATTGTATAAGAAGCAAATGATTCCAGAAATACAGAAAGATTTGGAATCGCAGTTGAATAACAATAGGATTTGAGGTATTTTACTGATGAACATGCCATGTTGGTTAAGGTGAAAACTTTACTGATTTAATGGGTTTAATTCTTGTTGTGCAGGTTGTTGCTCACTACCTTGGAATAAAGAAACAGATCTTCTGGATTCCCAACCTAGAGATTCATTGGCCATTGGGTTTTCCTCCCGTAGACAATCCTCCTTGTGTGTTTGATACTGAAAACCCTTCCTGCAAGCAAGGTATTCCTGTTAAGTTATATTACAAAAGATTCTGATTTCCTTTTGCCATTTTATAAAATATGCATTGAAGTTAAAAGATAAATTGCAGGATTATGAGAGATTTGAATGAAGAAGGCTCTTTGGCTGAATTGATCTCATGCTTCTAGAATAACCCTACCAACTTCCCTTTAATGATATTAAATCAGAACCATTGCACTTAGCAGGTCAAATAATTATATTATGGGACATTCTACTTCTAAGATGTACCAGTTAATAATTACTGATTTATCTCAATTTTAAAGTTGGAGGCCCCTGGGATAATTATCACAACACATATCACATTTTAACCTCTATGTTGGTAGATTTTAAACGGAAAATACCACAAATATAGTCACCTTGCCCAAATACTTTGATCTGTATTAATCTTTTTGCTGAACACCTCCATGGATATATTAGGGAATGACTCTGAATAAATTGTATTACATAACAATTTTAGAAAATAATTTTATAAAAGTATCTGATCATCAATTTCTACAAATGTTTGGAAAACATTCAGTATGGGAGTGTTCCCAGGTCTTTGATACCTCTGACACAGCTAACAAAACCAAAGAATATATAGATGATTAATCTGTAATTTTTAAGATTTAGATAAATTAATTTTCTTTGCCAATTCCCACTCCCCCTTTTGTTTTCTCCTTTCTTGGAAGACCTTTGTGGCTTGAAATTACACCTAGTTTCAAGCCTGCAAGACGATTTTAAGATCACACAAATTTGGGAAAATTCTTAGATTCTGTTAATTCGAAAGCCAGTTTATTTTAAGGCCTGTGGATATCAGGTCAATTCACACTGAATTGACTTTTCCACCTTTCTGCTCAATCTTAAATGTTAAAATAGCTTGATATTGACAAGCAAAAACTAGGTGGAGTCAAAATCGTTTTTCTTCAATAATTGCACACAAAGTCCAGTTGTCCTCTTTAATACCTCAACCAAATGGCCATGATTGATATGCGACCACAACATTCCCCAAATACAACTGGTCATCCACTCTATGGCTGTTTGTGGGACATTGCTGTGCAGAAATTGGCTACTGGATTTGCTCCTAAAACATACAGTCACTTCATTATCACATCCTGTGAAATGCTTTGGGACGTTCTCCTGACTTGAAAGGTCAAATGTACGAATTACTGTTATTGTTCCAATGGATTTCTGAATATTAATTGAGGGTGGATGGCAGAATTCCCAAGCACTCTCAGCTGTCTTTGCAAAAACACACCCATTGAAATGGAAAAGGAAAACATGTTTATGTCATCACACTGTTTGTTTGAATAATCTACTGCCATAATGTATAACCTTGCCCGAGCACATTTCTGCCCGATCTTAGATTTCCCTGCACTAAGCTCTGTAAACCAATCACCTTCATCCTTGCCTGGCTTCACTGGTGCCACATCGCCTACAGGATCAAGTTTAAAATCCTTGACCTCACCATTAAAGTCCTCCACGGTCTTGCTCTGCCCTACCTCTGAGACCTCCTAAAATGCTACCAAGCTGTCCTCTCCCTCCACTCGGCAGGTACTGGTCTGCTCCATGTCTCCCGCCTTGCCCACTACACTATCAGAGGTCGGGCCTTTAGCATTTCTGCACCACCCTCTGCAACTCCATCCCAGAGCCCTTCAGCCTTGCCCCTCCCTTGCCTCCTTCAAGGCCCATCACAACACCTTTCTTTTTGACCACTCCTTCGATCATCTTCCCACCGTCATCCTTCTTGTACCCCACCCCTCTCGACTCCAAGCAGCAGCTTGGATGCAATCCCTTGACTGTCCAGTGCCTTGGGACATCCTCCCTAACTGAAAGGCGCTATATGAATACAATTTGTTGTTTTTGTTAAATAACGTGGCTGTGGAAAGGTTCCACATTAGGGCAGTACATTATTCAAGCAAATAGTATGGTGATGATATAAGCATGTTTTCCCTTTCCATTTGAATGGGTGTGTTTTTACAGATACAGCTGAGTGGTTGGCAATTCTGCCGCCCACCCTCAATTAATATGTTCTACTCTCAGGACTGTAAAGAACGTACCATGAGCTTGTGCACATATTGCACAAACGGCCTTGCCCAGTGGAGGGCAAAACACACCACGGAAAATTGGGAAGTAACGTTAACCGAGCGGATAGCGAAAGATCTGGCCCCGTACAGCAAATGTTTATTGCGCTGAAGGCAAAATGTGATTTATGCTTCATTATGTGGAAATCTTGAGTGCACTGATATAACGGAAGAAGAGGAAGAGCAATTCATCTCAACTTAATGTCAGTGTATTTGTACGAGAAGCATGTGCTGCTTGTTGTGTGGAATATCCAAAGTGTTTTCCAGGCAAAGTGCCAGATGCTGTTCATAGTCAGAGTCATAAAGGGGAAGTTTGAAAACACCAGGGTTTTGAGTCTTCTGACATAAACCTTCTCTGTTTTTGTTTCCCAAGTTACCTTGCCACTTCTCGGAATCGTTGCCCTGGGAGCGGGTCTTACGCTGGCTATTTTTGGAATATCCAGCTTTCTTGTTTACAGGTACTTGCAGAATGTGACCATTTAATCTGCGTTCACCAGGACGGTTTTTGGCATGCTTGGAATGCTTGATTGTGTGATTCAATATTATTTAGTTTTTAGCAACGCTTATGTTTTTCTCATGTGGAAGGCAGATGAAAATTTGTTCAAATCTCCCTGTATATTCAGTGATGGTTATGCTTGTCAATCCCACTGCACTAAAGCACTTAATCCTCCATGGCTCCATCCTACATCCGCAACCTCTTTCAAATCTACCGACCTGTCTGCTCCCCTCGCTCAGTGAACACTAGCTGGTAATGTCCCTCATCCTATACAGCCCACCATCGTTGGGTGGGCTTTTGAGCATTCTGCCCCCACTCTCTGGAACTCCATCTGGGAATCCCTCTGACTCCTCCTTCCCTCACCACATTCAAGGGAAGTCTCAAGGCATAACTCTATGATTGTGTTTTTTGGTCACCTTTCCCCTCCGCACCTCATCAGCTCCCATCCCCAGCTGGATGCCCAGCCAGCAGCTAATGGGACGTTGAAAAAGGATGCTGATATTGCAGTGAAGGATTTTAAAGTCACTGTTTAACATGATCTTTGAATAGGAAACTAAAGCTGGAGAAGGAGCTAGCCAGGATGATGTGGAGAATCCGCTGGGAAGAACTTCAATTGGGAAACTGTGACAAATACCGGAAGGGTGCTGGCAGCAGACTCACCTTGTCATTGGTAAGTGACGTAATAATAATAGGCTTCTTCGATCACCCTACTACCTTTACGCTCCCTGCACTCCACCCCTCCCGATTCCAATCCGCAGGCTTGGGTCCAAATGCCTGACTATCTAGTGCCTTGGGGCATTCTCCCAACGTGAAAGACACTATACAAATGTAATTTGTTGTTGTTGTGACCACTTGAACTTTTCTTGGGGAAAATATTTTAAGCCAAGTGCCTTGGTTTTCACAGACTTGGCAATACGAAGAAACTTTTTTTTTTTTAGCTTTATATGAGTTGATGGTTTATTTCTCTGTGGCCGGTTAGGTTTTGGAAATCTGGGCTTGCTGTAGGCCACATTTTTTCCCTTTTGCCAGCTTCCAGAGTTGGCACCAGTCAGACAATACCCAGTACACAGTAGAGCCCAGTGACAGGAAAGCTCTCTCTTTACAGTGTGCTGTCAACACACTTGACAGTATTCTGTGTGAAATGCTTTGCAATATTTCAACATTTTAGGCACAATATTAAACGTAAGGATTATTGTTCTTATTTTATTATGTGTGTATGTCAGTCGCACAGTCAAGTAAAAACCCATGTGAACTATTCTTCCTTTGCAGAAAACCCATCCTTATAGTCATATTGCCATATCTGTAAGAACATGAGAAAAAGCCATTTGGCTCATCAAGCTCACTCTTTACAGAGCCACCCAAACCTCCCCCATTGCAGAACCTAGCCCACCACACCATCTCCAGGGGGAAAGTACTCCCTAGAAATTTTTAGAACCCAAAGGTAATGTAGCAACAACAACAACAAAATTACATTTATAGAGCGCCTTTCACGTCGGGAGGACGTCCCAAAGCACTGAATTGAATATTCATCCAATAGAGCAAAAGCTCTATTGAATATGCATCCAAACTATGTTGCCACATCTCAACAGTTTGGCATCCTCCACCCTTCTCATATCCCCTCCACTAGACATTCCCACAGAAATTATTACACAAATGAAGTAGAAAACAAATACTACCAATTTGACATGTTGTTTGCAATAGATGACTGGAAACTTGCAGCATATATTTGCCTACAAAATACAATGTCATTACATTTTATAGTGTGAAGCGACATGACATGCTGACATGTCCTCCTGATGTGAAAAGCCCTATATTAAATGTAAGGATTATTAAAATTATTATGCAGTAATAATGCTGTTTGTGCATTGAACCATCAACTCCGGATTGCAAAGTGAAATTTCACACTTGCATAAAACTGAGGTGATTGGTTCATTTTTAGCACTAGTAAAGAGACGAGAGTCTGCCCATTATTTACTAATTCTAAGAACCTCACAACTCGTTTATTTGATATATTGTAACTTGCCCTTCCCAGGTCAATAAATAGGTATCACATTGTCTCCTAAACATGATCTTCTTGGGATTGAATTGGCTCCAGTGATAAGACACACCTGACAGCTCTGCGCTAAAACAAGGCATCGTTGCCCAACATTGAAGTGACATGTACCTAATCTTGTAGGTGAATGTGGAGTGGTCCTAGATGGGGCAGATTGCAAACCAGTGCTTTGTACTGGGAAGCTGCATTGTTATAAATTCTAAGTCTGGAATGTGTTTAATCATAAACATTCATAATGGGATTGTTAATCGGTGGCAAAGGCTGCTGATGAACAGACTCTCATAGTAGTTTCCATCGTTCCGCTGATAAAACATTCTCCCTTGGATTAGTGAAAAGTCTTGCACATGTCTCCAGATTAATTATTGATTGTTGCTGCTTCCTTCCTGCCTTAATCTCTGTAAACATATGAAACAGCGTTGCATTTCTGCTCAATGTGAAGGACCCATTTTACATGTCAACTGGGTATCACAAAGACCTAATAATGGTATCTCCTGTAATTATCAGGATAACATTCTTTCCCTGACCACAGTAGAGTCTGGAAAGTGTTTAAACATTATTTATTTGTTTGTTTGTTTATTTATTTTTGATAATTTCAGTCAGAGAAAAGTGACACACTGTTTTGATTCTTTCCCCACCAAGAAAAGCAGCACCCACCCCCGAAACCCAAGATAGACACACAAAAGCTGTCTGACAGTCACGGCAATATGACTTCCACAGGCTTCTGGCAGCTATGTCTGCGCAGAATAACATAGTTATTGTTCCACAGGCTCTGTGCCAAGGAGCAGCACAATGTGAACTTGTGCCTGTGATTCAGCGCAGGAGCGTAGCCTCTAACTTCAATCCGTTGGGACATTTACCAAGTGGTTGGAAAGGCAGTCCAATATGCCTCTTCCCCAAGGCAGGGAACAAGCGAATATTGGAGGATCAACTATCCTCATATGGATCCCACCACTGACAATATCAGATGGCCTGGCAGCCCTACCAGGCTGGACAATCGGGTACAGCACAAGGAATAAATAAATGGGGCTAAAAGAAAACAGCATCAATGGTGTGCAATGGCTAGATTTACAGAATTCATAACCAGGATCTGTTCAGGGAAATAAACACAATAAATAATACTTTATCAAGGTACCTGAGCTTCTATCAGGATCGTTGGAACAAAACTCTTGGGAGTTCTATGAAGTTGGTGCTACAGATTTGCATAAGTGAAGGAATCATAAGTAAGAGGAATGGTATTATAATAATAATTCTTGCATTTGATATAATAATAGTAATAATCCTTGAATTTGATATAGCGCCTTACCATGTTTTTAAGACATCTCAGGGTACTTCACAGAATATATTGTAAGTGAATTGATTGTATATTTTGTGGGTGAAATGCAGCAGCCAATTGCGCACAGCAGGCTCCCACAAACAGTTGTGGATTAAGTGACCAAATTATTATTATTATTAATTTGAAGGGATTATTACCCCGGAAAAGTAATCTGCCAATCAACTAACAAGTGGGTTCCTACTTACTACTAGGTAAACAAAGGCGTGTGGAGTAAGGAAACTTGCCCAGCGTTTTGCACTGTGTGGGAATCAAACCCAGGTCCTTATTGTGCTTATAATATCAAAATATCTCAAAGTGCTTCACAAGTAACTTCTGTAAAGAGTAGGGACATTGTGTTTTGTGGACAAAAGTGGCATAGAGTTTGCGCAAAGAAATATTCTACAAACAGCCATGAAGTGGATTAACAATTTATGTGGGGGACTGTTGGCCAGGATACAGAGAGATGTGATTCATACATGGAGAACGCTTTGAGACATTCATCACACTTACTAAAAACAAAGCTTTTCCGCTGGTACCACCATCGTAATAGTGGATATAAAAAAAATTAATTGCATATAATCTGCTTTCCCACAGTAGACAAAATAGATTGTTGGGCACCAAACCGATGGTTTGTGAAAAATGAGCTAACTACACAAATCATAATCTAAAAGTAGATTGCAGCCAAAAGACCTTGATGTTGCAACATGGTCTTTCAACATAGCTTGAGTAGAAAATAGGGAGCAGGAGTTGAAAGCCTGCTATTGATTTCTATCATTGCTTTGGTTCAAATGAGGCACTTTGCCTTCTTTGTTAGTCAGTGCTAGGTACCTGCAAAAAAGCAGCGTGGTGTAGCAGTGGTCCACCCACCTTCATGTACATTTTTGTATGGTCTCAGAATAATTTCAGTATTATCAACCTGCTGGAAACTACCTATCAGTGAGCGTCCTCCTACTACAGTATAAACAAGGTGATGCTTCACAAAGCGTACCATGTCATTTGGAGCGGTTTACTAGCACACTAAATGCAGAGGAGCAACTGACTCTTAGAGTATTTCTGTTCAACAATGTAAACAATACTTACAGAGACAACAAATTAAAATAGTGTATTTCACTTTCTTGTTCTTTACTGGTTATTTTTCCTGTCTTTCACAACAACAACAAGGTTACATTTGTTTAGCGCCTTTTATGTCAGGAGGACATCCCAAGGCGCTGGACAGACAGAGTTATGGACCTGAGCTGGGGGTCGGGGTGGAGGGCAGGGGGGAAGCAGGGAGATCAAAAGCACGTTCGAAGAGGAGGGTTTTGAGGTGGTTCTTGACGGTGGTGAGGGAGGGGGCGAGACAGAGGGACTGCGGGATGGAGTTCCAGAAGATGGGTGCAGAGAGGTGGAAGGCCCACCCACCAATAATGGGGCAAGCAAGATGGGTGACATGAAGCAGGCCGGAGCCCACTGAGCGGAGGGAGCGAACAGGATGGTAGGGGTTAGGAGGCCGGAGAGGTAAGGGGGAGCAAGACCGTGGAGGTCTTTGAAGGTGCATCTTGAACTGTATCCTCTGTGTGATGGGAAGCTAGTGGAGTTGGGCGAGGATGGGGATGATAGGGTCGTGGAGCCTAGTACGTCCCTCTTCACATCCCACACTCATTCCTTCTCCCATCCCCATATTACAAGCTCTTAATCTCTCCCCTCTCGTGCTAAGCAATATTCCCAACTGAGATTCAGGCAGCCAACAAGGTTCCAATTCCTGCCAATAATCTTTGGTATCCAATGCAGGAGGTGTAAACAGGAGCAGCCAGGGTAACAGTCCTTAGATCTTCTCCAGCATTTCCCCCATGGGTGAAGAGGCCTATATCAGAAATCTTTGGTCTGAGTAATCAAGTCACCAATGTCTGTTGTATAATTAAGAGCCAAGGGAAATATTGTCCAGTGGGCAACAGGCCAAGGGTTTAAAAGTGGAGATATAGTGACGGTTGAATGTTCTGGAGTAGTTTGCATGTTTGTTTTATTCATTATTTTAGGGTGTCATAGGAGATAGAAGACTTAGAGAGGAGTCTGATGAGTGAGTTTTGCCTGTTCCAGTTGATAGGCCAAATTATCTTTTCTCAATTAACTCTTTCTTCTACACAACCCAATTAGCTCACTGTAATTTCTGCAACTGTGCTTTGGGGATGATGGGGAGAGTGGGAGGAGAGAGCAGAAGAATTAAGCGTATGAATTTACTGAAAGCATTACTTTTGAGTTGCATCGCATTGCTGCTCAACTTGCCTTTCTTGTCTATTTCACCTACAGCGAGGATCCAGTTATTGTTCCTTAATGACCACCCAAGGAAAATATCAGCTCTTTGCAAAGACTGGCTACTTTAAGGTAATGACCGCAGGACTATCAGCAGTGGTTCTGCTTGCTCATTGGCTGGTGATGTTTAAACTATCAAGGGAACAAGCACAGAGCAAAATACAGCAGAAATGTCGATAATATACCAGGCAGATGTCATGACTATACCTGCCGACTCTATACCTCATTCACTGAAGTGCAAATTGAGGATTTATATTGTTGGCATTGGCTTCATAACTCCCTCCTAACCAGCAAAGCCCACGAAGAGGCAGTGGGATAGATGATCTGAGGGGGAGGAAGGTGATGGTAAAAGATTTTCAAGATAGCCATTGAACTCCCCAGTCTTTCCACTGTAGTTAACAGTGGATTGGGGGTAAAAAAAGATCAATTTCAGCTGTAATTCTGTCTATGGTTTAATGATAATAATATTTCTTACATTTGATATATTGCATTTCAAATTTGGAGTGGGGGGGTTATAGGGCTTCACACAATTTTACTGTAAAGCATAGTGTCTGTGAACTTGGTAGGCAAACAGGTTAGCCAATCTGCATACAACAAACAGCGATAGAGTGAATGCTACCTCCCACTCCCTCTTCCCCTTATACTCCCTCTCCCTCTCCCCCTGGCTCCTGCCCCCTACCTCTCCCCCTGGCTTGGGGTCAGACTCAGCCACTATCAAGTGCTCCAGGATGCTACCCCACGTGAAGGGCACTATATAAATGCAAATTCATGTTGTTGAATGATCAAATTTATTGTGAGGGATTGTTGACCAGGACATCAGGAGAAACTGCCTTGTCTTTTCAAACCATGCAATGGGATTTTTAAAGTTTACCTGAACTGCAGACGCCACTCTGTTTAACATCTCATCCGAAGGGTGACACCTCCAGCAATGCAGCATATCCTCAGTGCTGTATTGGATTCTGAATTCAAAGTCCTGATGTGAGGCTTGAACCCACAACTTTCTGGCTCAGAGCCGAGAGTACCACCAAGTGAGCCAGGCTGACAATATTCAGTGTGTTGGATGAGGTATGACAGAGTGTGAGGCCAGGAAGAAGGAAAATTTGGGGTGAATATTATGAAATATGATTTTGATAATTATCACTGATAATGATTATCACATTGTTGTAAATTATTAATAATTATTGACTTGTCTGGTTCTCAGCACACATTTTAATACTTTTCAGAGAATATTTATTCCACAACAACTTGCATTTATATAGCGTCCTTCACACAGGGTAGCGTCCTAGAGCCTTTATTCTTACGTCCTTGATTTTTTTTGTGTTAAACTGACGCATTTATCTTTTTGTTTAGGGTAATTTAATCGCAATCAAACATGTAAATAAGAAGCGGATTGAGCTTACCAGACAAGTACTATTCGAACTGAAGCACGTAAGTGAGCGATTTCCTGTTCTCTCTTCACATGAGAGCGTTTCTTCATTTATGTCCAAGTACCCAGACAGAGACTTGACCTCTCTTTCTGCCTCTGTCTTCCAGATGAGAGATGTGCAGTTCAACCATTTAACAAGGTTCATTGGAGCGTGCATTGATGCGCCAAATATCTGTATTGTAACAGAATATTGCCCTAGAGGAAGTCTTCAGGTAAAGATGTGCAAAATGTACAAGGAATAAAAACTAAGTGCACAAGATATCTGGTTTTCTTTCTGGAATAGAGTCATACAGGGACTGATCAGCTCCAACCCCGCTTCAAGTAAACCACATTTGTCCCAACGCACCCATTTTTCCTATACATTCATCATCTCCATCATTCAGTTTAGCACCTAACCCGCTGAATAAAGGTTGTGTGAAGCTTTTTTCTAAGGTAAATCAAGACAACCCTTGCAGCAATCTCACTCTAGAATTAAACTTGGTGGAAATAAATTTAGATTGCATCAGATGATACCAACGATACTTTTTTCATTTTTTTTAATCAATTCCACATCTCCCCCACCCCAACAACAATTTTTGGACACAAAACAGAGGTAAGAATAAGTCAAAGAGACCCAGGCCTCCTCTGTTGCCACAGTAAAAGGGAATGTTTTAGAGAGTGACTTGGTGAGTCACTCTCACTACAGGCATGTGATTGATTGCAGGCATCGCCTCCTAGTCCCTTGCTCACCTTTGCCCTCCACCTACATCCATCCCACTGCACATCATTTCTAGGGCTCCAATCTTGTTTTAATTTCATTTTTTTTCTCCTCAATTCTTCACCTTCTGGAATTGTAAAAAAAGTTATTGCTGAAGAGTTATTTATGTTCGATTGCTGAAGAACAGCAAATACTGATGTTCAGTGTTTTATATCGAATTCAGGCAAGTTGACTGATATCCCACACTGGGATTTGCCATACTCATAAAATGGCAGATTAATTCCGTGCCGTAATGCCACCTCACAGAAACATAAGCTTATGTGAAATCCAATTTATATTATCTTTTCAGGATATCCTGGAAAATGAAAGCATTAACCTTGACTGGGTATTCCGCTATTCACTGATCAACGACATTGTGAAGGTAAGAGCAATGAGGGCAGGAGTGGGGAATACAGAAGAGAATATAACTTTAACTTGCTCAGAATATAAATACCTTGATTTCTGTGAAATGTATTCTGTGATCTTTTAGTTTTTGAAAGCGACTGGAAGATTCAGTTCAATACAACCAATTATTTTTCTCTCCCCTTCCTCTCTCTCTTGAAAATATTGACTTCATATTCCTTCTATTTGAGTCCGGCTTCAAACGAGCTGGTTACCCTTCACTATCAGGAAAGATATATTGGCCCTGGAGGGGTTGCAGCGTAAGTTCACCAGAATGTTACCAGGCCTAAAAGGGTTAAGTTACTAGGAAAGGCTGCATAAACTTGGATTGTACTCCCTTGAGTTTAGAAGGTTGAGGGGTGATTTGAATGAGGTTCTTAAGATGATAAAAGCATTTGTTCGGGTAGATACAGAGCTATTTCCTCTGGTTGGGGAATTGAAAACAAGGGGGCATAGAACCAGTTAAAGTTAGAGCCAGGCCATTTAACCCAGGCTTTTGTTCTCTACCACATCCCGACTCCTCCGTCCCCCCCGCCACCCTGTGCAGGTCATCTCCTCCAACCTTCACTGCGAGGAGATGCTGGATTTCCTTGAATCCAAAATTAAGGGAATCCGCTCCACGGTCACTCACCCTCCAACTTCCACCCACCCGCCATCCCTTCCCTCTCACACTCCGACCCCTACCCATCCTCCCCTACACACCTTCGAACCTGTTTCCCCACCCTCTGTCACCAACCTCATCCTGTCCCTGAAACCCACCACCTGCTCCTTTGACCCCATCCCCACTCCACTCCTTATCTCCCAGCTCCACCTCCTTGCCCCACTTCTCACAGACATCATCAACCTGTCCCTCTCCTCTAGCTGTTCCCATTCCCCTAAAAACTGCCTCCATCACTCCCACTTTGAAAAAACCCTCCCTTGATGCGTCGCAGCTATCAAGCTCCCGGCCCATCTCCAACCTCCCCTTCCTGTCCAAGGTCCTTGAAAGAGTTGTCGCCTCCCAGCTGCGCTCTTTCCTCTCCACCCATTCATTATTCGAACCCCTTCAGTCGGGTTTCCGTGCTGCCCATAGCACAGAAACCGCCCTGGTCAAGGTCACCAATGACATCTTGACCATCTGTGACCAGGGCTCCCTCTGCCTCCTCGTCCTATCGGCCGCATTCGATATGGTCGACCACGCTATCCTCCTCCACCGCTTGTCCTCCCACCTCAACCTTCAAGGCCCTGTCCTTGAGTGGTTTAGGTCGTACCTCTCCCACCGTCTTCATTTTGTTTCCACAAACGGCTTTTCCTCCGGCCCCCGCACTGTCTCGTGCGGTGTCCTTCAAGGCTCTGTCCTCGGTCCCCTCCTCTTCACCCTCTATATGCTCCCCCTCGGTGACATCATCCGCAGACATGGGGTTAACTTCCACATGTGTGCAGACGACACCCAACTCTACCTTTCCTCCTCTACCCTCAACTCCACGACCCCCGATGTCCTGACAGCCTGCCTGTCCGACATCGAGTCCTGGCCGAGAAACAACTTTCTTCAGCTCAACGTGCGCAAAACTGAGGCCCTCCTGATTCGCTCACGTCAGAGTGTCCGCACCTCAGGTGGTGACAGTATCAGCATCCAAGGCTGCACTCTCCACCTCTCAAAGCCAATCAGGAACCTCGGTGTTCTGTTCGACCCTGAGCTGTCCTTTCTTCCTCATATTCGCGCCACAACTGGCACCGCCTTCCATCACCTCCGGAATATCGCCAGACTACGGCACTACCTCACCCGTCACGCTGCTGAAACACTGGTCCACGCCTTTATCACCTCAAGGCTGGACTATGGGAACTCTCTCTTCGCCGGCCTTCCCGCCACCTCCCTCCACAAGCTGCAGGTCATTCAGAACTCTGCAGCTCGTGTACTGTCCCGCACCAGGCTTCGGGACCACATCACTCCCACCTTCGTTCGCCTCCACTGGCTCCCCATCCCCCAGAGGATCGAATTCATGATCCTCATCCCCACCTACAAGGCCATTCACGGCCTTGCTCCCTCCTAACTCTCCAACCTACTATCCCTCTAACTTACCTGCCCGTACCCTCCGTTCCTCTGGCTCCGGTCTGCTCCACATCCCCCGCCCCAACCGCCCTACCATCGGTGGCCGGGCCTTCAGCTCTGGAACTCCATCCTCCAGTGCCTTCGCCGCTTTCTCCCTTTCCTCCTTCAAGGCCGGTCTCAAGACCTTTCTCTTCGACCGTGCCTTCAGTTCCCCTCTCGACTCTCTACCCCCTCCTCGCTCCCTCCCTTCCCTCCCCTCACCCTGACCATTTCCCCCCTACTCGGGTCCCGACCCAACTGTCCAGCGCCTTGGAACGTCCTCCCGACGTGAAAGGTGCTCTATAAATGAAATCTTGTTGTTGTTGTTAAGAGTGAAACCAGGAAGCATCTCCAAATTCCTTAAACAGAATTCTCACTCTGTTCCACCTCACTCAGTTTCCCCCTCACGCTTCTGGGCTCTCTGCTTAAGTGAGGCTCTCGCAAGTCTTCTCCTTTTACAGGAGTTCTACATTGTGTGAGATGCCATCGTTTGGATGAGATGTTAAATCAAAGTCCTGCCTTTGCCTATTCACGTACACTTTATAGATCCCATGTCAATACTTGAAATGAGATGGGAGTTTCTCCCAGTGTCTTAGCCAACAATCCCTCAAATAAATGTGGGAGGTTGCCCTGCCCCAGTGACTGGTCTGCCCTTCCAGTTCCTGATGATGAGCCAGGCTGGCTGTGCTGTGGCTCAGACTACTGAGCCCGCCAATGGTCATTCTTTTCATGGCTTTATGTGGGAACTGCTCTGCAAATTTGCTGCTGTGTTTGCTTACAAATGCACAGTCACTAAACTTCACAATAAAAATCCTGTGAACGCGCTTTGATGGTGGGATTAATTTTAGAATCTCAGAGGACCATTGAATTTTTATTTTAATGCAAATCCTGACATTGATTTCCGGGAAGGTAGTTCTCCATCTATTAGAATATAGCTGATACAATAGTATTACCATTACCACCATTTGAATTGGAGTGCTCTAGACTTTGATTAGCCATTCATTGATGAGCCGGACAGGCTGGATAGAATCAGTGATGGCTTGAATTACTGTCGACATGTCTGGGATGGTTTATTAACTATCCCTTGTGGATGTTGTGGGGGGTGGGGGAGAGAGAGTAAATGGGATGCTAAGATAGTTAGCAAATAAGCAAATGGGGAGGTTAGCAGAATTTTTTNCACATACAGAATAGTTAGAATTTGGAATGCCCTGTTGGGAATGATGGTTGAGGCAGAATTCATATTGGTCTTCAAAAGGGAGTTAGGTACATATCTGAAAAGGAGTAAACTGCAGAGGTATGGGGAAAGGGCAGGGAAATGGGACTGAAAGGATTGCTCTTAAGAGTCAGCACAGACACGATGGGCTGAATGGCTTTCTTCCATGCTGTAAATTCCCACGGTTCTTTAGGGCTGAGCTGGCTCCAAGGTGACCTGCCTGGCAATGGAAAACCAGAATGGAGTTGATGCTCTATAGCCGGTGGTTTCAGTTGTCTAGTTCCTGAGCCAGTTGGGGTCTGCAGTACCTCGGTCTATGGCAGACCAACCAGCCTGGCTCATGGGCAGGGATTAAAAATACTTCCTGGAATTAGGTAAGCAGAGCAGTGCGTCTCTCCAGGGAACGAGTTTGCACTCCAGAGTTCCAGAGGTATGTAGAGGCTGAAAGCACTGCCACCAATGGTAGCATGGAGGGTTCAGGGGACATGCAACAGGGAAGTGTTAGCTGAGCGAAGAGGGTGGGCAGAGGAGGGCAGAGCCAAGACAGACACCCAAGTGGGGTAGCAAGTCAGGGATCATAATCACTGAAGAGTCGGAGATTGTTAATCAAAGATCAAGCTCCATCAATATCGTATGCTTTTTGAACATATCAGGATGACCTGAGAACGGTTTTACCAACCTCTTCTGTTTCTTTTACAGGGAATGGCATTTATACACAACAGTATTATTAGCTCACATGGGAATCTTAAATCATCCAACTGTGTGGTGGACAGTCGCTTTGTGCTAAAAATCACAGATTATGGTTTGGCAAGTTTCCGCTTAACGTGTGACAATGAAGATTCATACGCTCTCTATGCAAGTGAGTTTCAGCCTGTATCTGTCTGGCTGTCCTATAATCTTGTTAAGGGTTGAGCACTTGGGAAAATTCAAGCTCTTGACTGACTGCCCAAGATTCAGCTAGTTTGGGGTCTGAGTAAAGCTGTCTAGTGGAGACAAACATGCAAAGGAAGGAAAAGCAAATGTGGGAAGGGGATATCCCTACAACAGACTGATGCCATTATAATTCAGCACTTAGGGTCAATAAAATGCTCCTTGTGTTATATAACAAGTCAAAATGTAGTGAGGCTGCTCACCAATTGCCAGGGTTGTCTCTGACTTTATAATAATAATGAACCTTGTGTTTGAAATAGCACCTTATCACGTCTTTGAGACGATTCAAAGCACTTCATAGAATATACTGTAAAGTGAATTGACTCTATGCTTTGTGGGTGACTCAGTCAAAAAGCAAAATTGTTGAAACAAAAACAAGTAAATATGAAGAAAATTATGATGGTTGGCAGAAACTGAAGCTTATTAAACTATCAACAAACAAGAACAGAAGTCGCTGGGAACACTCAGCAGGTCAGGCAGCATCTATGGAGAAAGGAAAGTGAGTCAACGTTTCGGTTCCACGACCCTTCGGCAGAACGGGCACATCAGATGTTCTGATGTTAAGGCTGAATTAAAACATTTACCATTTTCTTGCAGGTTCTTAAATTGTAAACCCATACCAACACTGCTGTTCATTTCGCTCAGCAGGCACTGCCCTGCTTCACATCGTCTGCCCTAACATCAGAACTTATTAAACTATCTGTCATCCTCTTTTACAATGTTGTATGGGAATTGAAAGCATTGTGATAATAGGAAAAAACAACAGTATTTGTTTTATAATAAATGTGGCCAATCTCTTTATATTTTGTGTGTGTTCCTAATACTGTTTTCTCCCCATATCATATACCATTCCCTATTCCAAAAGGTAAGGTAATAATGACTCAGAGGCTTTTAGCATTCCAGGCAATCATTAGGAGGGGGTGAGAGTAGATCTGCAACTACAACAACTTGCATTTATATAGTGCCCTTCATGCGGGATAGCATCCCAGAGCTCTTCATAGTGGTGGAGGCTGGCAAACAGCCATAGGGAGAAGGAGGGGCGGGGAGGTGACCATAAGCATGATCAAAAAGCATTGTGCTTACAGGATAGATCATGGGTAGGTCTAAGCCTAGGTACTAGGTCAATCTGTTGCCTGTAGTATAACTGAGGCATTAAAACTTTCATGTGGTGTCATCAAGCCACTGACTTCTTGATACTGATGCAGGTTTGTCATGGTTCAGCATGTTGCCTCGTCTTCTTTGCAGCTGTAGCATTTCTTTCAGTTGTTTTCTTGCCGCCATTTTGTTCCACATTTTGCTAACTTGGGATTTGTGATTCGCTATTCTGCAAATCCTGAGTCAGTAAATCCTGCAATATAACATTCCGGAGCCAGAAGTCACATTTCATAATTTAAATCCAGTTTACTAATATTTCATGTAGTCGTGTGTATGTTATATGGGAGCTATGCACTGTGTGTGAGTATGTGTTATGGGAATTCCTATGAGTCAGGAACTCCGGAGTTCCAGAAAGTGGGGGCAGATAGGCTGAATGCACATCCACTGATGGTGAGGTGGGTAGGGCAAGAGATGTGAAACAGGGCGGTGCCGCTGAGTAAAATGAGCGGCCGGGTTGGTATGGGTTTACAATATAAGAACCTGCAAGAAAATGGAAAATGTTTCAATTCAGCCTTCACATTTTTAAGGTTAAGATTGAATTGAAGAGTTCTCCCAAATTCCTCATAAGCTTAACATTTTAAGACAATGGGCTAAGAGCGTGAGAAATGTTGCAGTCTCCTGATGCATGCATCTGCAAGGTGAGACCAATGAATATTGGTTCTTTCAGCACTGCTTGCCTTGGGGCGCCACATTACCAACTGCACAGCATTCACCTACAGTGAGCACTTGGATCGGTAGAGCTCCAGAGAGGAGAGCAACAGGGTGTTTTTAATCGGTTCTATCCTGTACATTTTCTCTGATAACTGTAAAGAGATGATTGCTTTTAACCATTCACTCTTTCTTTGCAACAGAAAAACTTTGGACAGCACCAGAGTTAGTAAGATGGGGGCGAGCACCTCCTCAAGGTACCCAGAAAGGAGACATATACAGTTTCGGCATTATTCTTCAAGAAATTGCCTTGAGAAATGGCCCATTTTACATAGAAGGAATGGATCTCAGTCCAAAAGGTATATTTCACCTTTCAAGTATTTTTCGCCCACTGTTACATCCAGGAAAGTAATCAAAGCCCATCTTGATGAAGTGCTGTATCAATTTCATGCACTGTACAAGAACAATCATTGTTTCCAGAATATAGGTGAAAGAGTGATGACTGGAGGTTAGGTGGAACTTTGGTTTTCAGTCATATCCCTTTGGTAATTCCATCTATATAAATCATGGAGTGTCAGGCAGAAATGTAAGACATAACAGCATAAAATTCCAACTTATGTTTGATGGCTACAAGCGAGATTTGTTTGGAAATGTAATATATCTTGCAAGAAACTTACAAATCCTTCATTTCCAATGCCGAGTGGATATTAAGATAGCAGAATGTTTTGACTAACTTAGAACTGGCCCAAATGTTCTCAATGGTTGCTCTTGACGTTTATTTCCTCTGTCTGTTGCTGCCAATGGCTGGACGGCAGCTGCAAGAGTATTTTCAGCCAGGGATCCCAAGCTGAAATTCCAGTCTTGGCTCATGACCTTCCCCGGAAGTTACATAGGCTATTCAGTCCCTTGAGGCTGTTACACCATTCTATTAGATCATGGTGGATCTTTACCTCAATTCCAAATACCTGCCTTTGCCCCTTGATACCCTGACCTAACAAAAACCTATCCACCTCAGTCTTGGAAATTTGAATGGATCCAGCATCCACAGCCTTTTGGGGGAGAGAATTCCAGATTTTCACTACTCCTGATTTCACTCCTAAATGGCCTAGCTCTGATTTTAAGATTATGCCCCTTTGTTCTGGATTCTCCTACCAGAGGAAATAGTTTCTCTGTAGCTATCCTATCGAATCCCTTAATCATTTTAAGCACCTCAATCAGATTATCCCTTTACCTTCTAAACTCAAGGGAATACAAGCAAAGTTTATGCAACCTGTCCCCATAATTTAACCCTTTAAGACCTGGTATCAGTTGCTGGTATTTACTGAGTTGTCTGCTGAGCGATAATAATTTGGGGGTTATTTCTTAAAGCATTTCTAAATTAAGTTATTTATGGATTTCTTAATTAATAAACTGAGTGAGACATTCTTCTCATAATTTTTTTTGTTAGTTGGGTGCCTTACAAATATGGAATTTTTAATCTTTCAGTATCGTCCTGTCTGTGCAGGATGAATAAAGCGGAGTTTGTTTTAATCTTAGAGAGAACACAACTTCATCCCATGTCAAGTTAGGGCTATTTAATCTTTTGATGTCTCTTTAGAATTCCATCTCAGTGATAAGAAAGTGGTGTCTGAGATTAATGCAATTGGTTATGTGCTGATTATCTCTTGCCCTGAGTTGCTGAATAGAATAGAGCAGACTGTGCTTTGAGACAATGAGATAACAAAAATACCATTTTGGCTATGAGTTCAAGATTCTGGATAAAATAGCGCCAGTACAGGAAACAAACCCATGTAATCTAAGCCACTGGTATTCAACTAAAAATAAAATGTGGTAACTGGCATCACGCCTCTGCTTGCTTTCTCCTTCCTCTTTGTCCTGTCGGACTTATTACGAAGTTTCCATACTGCAATTGTTTTTGATACCACTACATTTATGAGCTTTATCCACTGCTTCAAAGGTTGACAGCATATTTGACCTTCACCATATTATAAAGGACTTTGTATTAACCAGGCATTTCACTACAAACCTTATTCGTTTCAGAAATTGTTCAGAAGGTCAGAAATGGTCAAAAGCCTTACTTCAGGCCCAGCACAGACATCAATCGCCACAGTGAAGAATTGGGCCACTTCATGGCCAGGTGCTGGGCAGAGGACCCTGCTGAGAGGCCTGATTTTAGCCAAATCAAGATCCTGATCAGAAGATTCAACAAGTAAGCCCAAGAAACATTTCAGTAGGATGATAATGACTGTATTGTTCTGGTACGAAGCTTGCTTTTAATTTGGTGCAAAAAAACCTCAATTTTTTTCCAATAGTTTTTTGTGGAGTCCTGTTGCGTATTCATTCGGGCACTTGTCTCGCAAGCAGAGACCAGGGTTCAATTCCCAGCTGGGTGAAAAGTTGGGCAAGTTTTCTTATTCCTCAGGCCTCTGTTTACCTAGTAGTAAGTAGGAACCCGGTTGTGAGCCGATTGGCGGATCGCTTTTCCGGGGGTAATAATTCCTTAGAAAATATAATAATTGAACACTCAATCCATGGCTGTTTATGGGATACTGCTGGGTGCAATTGGCCTACATGTTTCGCCCACAAAATATAGAGTCAATTCACTTTACAGTATATTCTGTGAAGTGCTTTGAGACGTCTTGAAGATATGAAAAGGCTCTGTATCAAATGCAAGGATTATTATTATATAATGACTATTATTATGTCTGCTGAGGGTATGATTTCTATTCTGGCTTTAACTTGGTGATTTCAGCGTTCTGAGATGCTACCCAGTGTAAAGGACAATATGTAAATGCAAGTTTTGTTGTTGCTGTTGTTGTTAATGATCTGATTGTCAATGTCCATCTGATTGTCCAGGCAAGTACAGAACAGAGGGAAAAGCTAGCACTAAAATAAACGTTTGCGAATCAATGAATGGCGGAAGTCAGGATTGGCTGTGAATCTTTTGTGGTCAAAATTTAAGATTGGGCCAAATTTTAGAAAATGGTTAATCTGGACTGGATCTGCGTTTTCTACAGTTCTTTTAAAGAGAGGAAATGGGAATGGAACAGATAGCTCCTGTGGGAAAGGCCAGCACCAGCACCAGACAGAATGATTCAAATCACCGCCTTATATGTTTTCATGTTATTGATTTTGAAAGAGTGAAGTAGATCCACTGGGATTCAAAGCCAGAATCAATCTGCTGATTCAAAGTCCAAAGCAACAACTGACTGGGAGACAAGGGATCAGCTGGCATATTGAATGGAATAGGATTAATGGCCCACTCTGGACTATACTTATGTACTGGTGGCTCCCCTCACTGCTGTAAACTTGATATCAATTTTTCCACTTCATGTGTCTGTAAGAACAAAAAAAAACTAGAAGGATTTGTGGTATCAGAGTGGTGTGAAAGGGAGGTTAGGTTACAGCTGCTGGAGGAAAACCCAAGATTCTTCCCTTAGGGAGAAGTTTGAACATTCCAACCTCTACCAGATAGCTTTTGCACTACTTAATGGAACAAAGTACAGTATATAACATTGTAAATGGGATTGAAAAATTAAAGCCAGAACATTTTAGGATGTATAAAGACAGAAGAACAAGAGAGACGTAGGTTTAGAGTTTCAAAGGTCAATTTCAGATCAGACAGCAGGAAGCTTTCTTTATCCAGAGGGTAATTAATAACTTGAACTGGTTGCCAGTAAGGGTGACTGGAGTCAGGATACTAGACTCGTTTAAAAAACAGGTTGAATGATCCTGGATGGGAGGATGGCAGGTGAGTGTTCAGGAAAGAGATCAGATGGACTGACAGGTCTTCTTCTTCCTCCGAACTGATCTGGTGAAGCAGTCAGGAATAGATTAATAGATTGTATCTGAGAAAAAGTTATCCCTCTCTCCCCCACCCTCCCCAAATCTGACTTATTGACTTAAGGAGTCATAAACCTCACGACAATTTAGCAAGAAGAGAAAACTACTGGGTGAAAACCATCCCTATCATTATAATAATAATCTTTGCATTTGGTATAGTGCCTTTCACGTTGTCCCAAAGTGCTTCACAGGATTTATTGGGAAGTCACTGTATATTTGTGGCAGCCCAATTTGCGCACATCAATGAAGGGGCAGCGCTCACTCCAGAAAAAAATCATGAAAATTAGAGTGTTGAAAGGATATGGGGATAGGGAAGGGCAGTGGGATTGAATGGCCATCTTACTCTGTGAGATGGGCTTAATGCATATAGATTTCTACGATTCTATGAAAACAAAAGGGCTGTTTGACCGTTTGGAAGTTCTTTGAACTTCCTGTTGCAAAGTCCAAATAAAACTGGTTAGGTTAGCTTTAACCTAAACCAACCTGGCAAATAATAAATACAGTGCTGAAAAAAAAATAGTTTCACAATTTGCTTGCATTTTTCCCACATCGAGTTGCTATTTCGTTGATTTTATTGAAACATCTTAAGCTAGACACCTCTTATTTGTATTCGATAACCACCATGCAGAATTTTCCCCCTCCTCCCAGGACTCCACTGAGGTGAATTGTTCAGGCTATTGAGGTTGCTGACACTTGACTGAGCTCCACTCCCCATTAGCAATCTCACTGAAGCATTTCTATGTGGGAGAGAGATTCTGTAAAGTGCCAGTTCCCAGCGTGCCTTTGACACAGCAGTTTTAAACTTATAGCATATTAATAAGAAAGAACTCAAAAATCAGTGAGGGCTCAGAAAGTTTATCTCTCTTTATAACTATTAACCCCTGAAGTGCCATCGACAATTTTTCTTCTCTTGGGACATTATTGGGTTGCCAGGGTAGCACTTCTGTGGCAGAGTCCTGTAGTTCAGTGGTTAGAGCACTCGCTTTGCAAGCAAGAGACCTGGGTTCAATTCCCGGCAGGGTGAAACCTTGGGCAAATTTCCTTACTCCACCTGCCTGATAATAATCTCTCAAAAAAAAATTGATTACTTCAATCCACGACTGTTTGTGGGTCGCTGCTGTGCGCAATTGGCTGCCGCATTTTGCCCACAAATGTACAGTCAATTCACTTTACAGTCTATTCTGTGAATCGCTTTTGAGACATCTAGAAGACATGTGGAGTCCTGTAGCTCAGTGGTTAGAGCACTCGCTTTGCAAGTGAGAGACCTGAGTTCAATTCCAGGCAGAGGGCGAAACCTTGGGCAAATTTCCTTACTCCACATGCCTAATAATAATCCCTCCAAAAAACCAAAAACAATAATATATTGGTCATTTTCAATCCACGACTGTTTGTGGGACATTGCTGTGCGCAATTGGCTGCCGCGTTCGCCCACAAATATACAGTCAATTCACTTTACAGTGTGTTCTGTGAAGCGCTTTGGGATGTCTTCCTGACGTGAAAAGCGCTATATCAAAATGCAAGGATTATTATTTAAAGCACTATATCGAATGCAAGGATTATTATTATTATTATGGATTAATTTCTGATTTGAGTTCAACTGGTAAGGCCTGTGATGTGATCAGATCAATTGGGTTTAGTCAGCCGAGTGTCTAAGACATGCGGAAACCCAGCACCATTTGGATTAAGAGTATCTGAACATACTGAAAGTTCAGCATATGTATGCCACCTACGCGTGGACATTTTCCTGTGTCTGGAATGCACGCACCCTGCTTACCTAATTCAGAAAGTATTAGGTGTAGGTTGACAAGAGCCAAGGGTTGGGGACCCCAGAGTGTGTGTTGGGGCACTGCTGAAGTTTAAGCTGCTTAAATCAAAGCTTGCCATTGAGAGCACTGCCTGGCAAGCTTCCCGCTGCCTGTCCAGCTAAAACAATCCTTACAGGTTTAACAAGAGCCGAGTGGGAAGAATCCCTGCCCCCAATGTAGACTGGATCCACACTGCATCACAAAGACACCTTTGTTTTCATGCTTGAAGCAATAGACAATCACTACACTTGAAGGCAATTTCTTGTAAAAATGTTTTGAGATGTGTTGACATTGCAGTTAACTGGGTTTCCACTCTGAAGCCTGCCAATGATTCATGCTGGCTGGTATGTCACCAGCAATGCCCCAAAGTACTGTATACTTGTCTGGCCTAGAAACTGGTCAATTCCACATGCCTGACTCCAGGATTGGCTGAAAAACAGTCAGGTCACCTGGGGTAGAAACCTAAATTAATCCATGTTTCTCCAAAAATTGTGATTGATCGTAAAGTATAGGCCTGCTCCAGTTCACTTTTTAATAATAATCATCTTTACATTTGGTATATCATTGCTCACGTGTGGAAGACATGTCAAAGCACTTCAGAGGATATACTGTAAAGTATAATGAGTGAACGTGCCAGCCAATTTGCACACAGCAATATCTCACAAACAGCAATGAAATGATTGACCAATTTTATCCAGGTGGGGGGAATGTTGACCAGGATTGTTAACCTCACCTAGTAGAAATATATACTCCCACTGAACAAAATGTTTAATTTACACAAGTTCAAATTTGTCACCTACGTGGTGGACTGATGGAAATAAATTGACTTTTGCATTTGTGCTGGCGGGAACGTGCCTCACCATTTACTTGTATCCTTGTATTTTCTGTTTCAGAGAGGGCAGAAGCAGTATCCTGGACAACCTGCTCTCACGGATGGAGCAGTATGCCAATAACCTGGAGAAGTTGGTAGAAGAGAGGACACAGGCCTACCTTGAGGAGAAGAGGAAAGCAGAAAATCTGCTCTATCAAATATTACCTCAGTAAGATCCCCCTGCATCGCAAAGAGCTCTTTAATTTTGCTTTTATTTTCATGTTTGACACTTTGCTGTGCGCAAATTGGCTGCTGCTTTCGCCCATAAAATACAGTTACACCACTTTACAGTATATCCTGTGAAACGCTTGGAAGCATTTTGACGATGAGATAAGATGCAATATCAAATGCAAGGGTCATTATTATAATAGCCAAGCCTTACACTTGCCATCATTTTCCTTTGATATGGGTTGATGTTATAAGTGCTAAATCAATTGTAAGGATTATTAGAATTATTATCATTTTATTATTTTGCTCTTCTTCATACATGACAGTAAACATTAAACAGTAGCACTTTTGCCTCCGGTACAGAAAATTGGGAGTTCAAGCCCCACTTTGAAACTTTGAGACACACAGTCTAATACAGTGCTGGGTTATATAATATCCCGGTAATTAACAAAAACTCTTCTGTCCTGTGTTTTATGATCGATTCTGAATGTACTCCCTCTAGATATTGGTTCATAAGCCAAGGGAAACTATTGCGTCTCCTTCTTTACTTTGATAAAAAGCATCCAGAATATTAGTCAGTGGGTTAAGATCCTTTGGTGCTGATTATTTATTTAATATTTTTTTTAGCTCTAACACAGAGCTTGATGGGGAGTGTTACCTTTAGCTCTGTGTCTACCTTACCCAATAATGTACCCAACAAAATACTGAAAGAAATAGTCTGAGACTGCTGGTTACCATAGTGCTTTCTATGAGCTTTAATCTTAAGGAGCTACACACTCCAACACAGCTTGAATCAATGATGATTTCTAACAGCTATTAAAGGTCACAAGTAAAATGAGTTTCAGTCTGCGACTCAAGACAAGAACTAAAAATTACGTGTTGCTGGCTAGAGTTAAACCTCAGCTTGTCAGCTCTGATGATTTCACATTATCAACTGGAAAGGTCCAATAGATCAGGCTTGTTAAGGCAGGGTAATGGGACACCCATGCTCAACATTTAGAACTGCCAAGCCAGATCATATGGAACTGTTTGATACAGAGTTAGCTCTGCTTTGCCCAACAATGTGAGTCATACCCAATCTCACTACCCCTGATATAAAATATTCTGTTTCCTTCGCCAGGCTTCCTTTTAGTCTCTGTTACCAATTTTATACACAATTAATCACTTGATGCTATGCATCGATGCTGTCTTGGAACTTATTTCAGGTAGCATATTTTTATTCCATCAGTGAAGGCCTCTCTCAAAACTAAGGCCCGATATGAAAAGACCTATATGCTATCATCCTGAGCCAAGTATTTCAAAATGGTGTGATCAAACACTACAACAACAACAAAATTACATTTGTATAGCGCCTTTCACGTCGGGAGGATGTCCCAAAGGCGCTGGACAGACAGACAGTTACAGACCCGAGCTGTGGATCGAGATGGGGTAGGGCAGGGGGGAAAGCAGGGATATCGAAAGCACGGTTGAAGAGGAGGGTCTTGAAGTGGGTCTTGAAGCTGGCGAGGGAGGGGGCAAGACAGAGGGACTGTGGAATGGAATTCTAGAGGGTGGGTGCAGGGTGGCGGAAGGCCCGCTCGCCGATAGTGAGGTGAGCAAGGCGGGGGACGTGAAGTAGGCCGGAGCCCGCTAAGCGGAGGGAGCGAAGAGGGTGGTAGGGTGTTAGGAAGTCGGAGAGAGAGGGGGGAGCAAACCATGGAGGGCTTTAAAGGTGAGGACCAGGATCTTGAACTGTATCCTGTGTGATGGGAAGCCAGTGGAGTTGGCCAAGAATGGGGGTGATAGGGTCACAGAGCCTAGTGCAGGAGAGGACACGGGCTGCAGAGTTCTGGATGATCTGCAGCCTGTGGAGGGAGGAGTTGGGGAGGCAGACAAGGAGTGAGTTTGCATAGTCGAGCCTCGATGTAATGAAGGCGTGTATTAGGGTTTTGGCGGCCTGCGGTGTGAGACAGTGGCAGAGCTGGGCGACGTTGCGGAGGTGGGGGAAGGCGGAGCAGGTCATGGCACAGATGTGGGGTAGAAAGGATGGTTGGGGTCAAACAAGCCCCCATTTGAGAAGATAAAGTGCAGGCGGTGTGAGAGGTATGATCAGAACCAATCAAGGACAGAGCCATGAAGGTTGAGGTGAGAGGAGAGGCGGTGGATGAGGATAGAATGGTCGACAGTATTGAAAGCAGCAGAGAGGTCAAGGAGGATGAGGAGGCAGAGGGAGCCCTGGTTGCAGATGGACAGAATGTCATTTGTCACTTTGTGTTGAGGGGTTCGAGAAGGGAGTGGCGGGAGAGGAAGGAGTGAAGCTGAGAATCAACAACTCGTTCCAGTACCTTGGAGAGGAACAGGAGGTTGGCGATGCGACAGTAGTTAGGGAACAGAGAAGAGTCCAGGGAGGGTTTTTAAGGATAGGAGTGATGATAGCGGTTTTTAAAGGGGTGGGAACAGTACCAGAGGACAGGGAGAGGTTAACTATGTCAGTGAGTAGAGGGGCAAGGAGGTGGGGCTGGGAGGTAAGGAGGGGGATAGGGATGGGGTCGAGGGAGCAGGTGGTGGATTTCATACGGGTTATGGTGGTGATGAGAGGAGGGGGCGACAGGTTCAAAGGTGTGGAGGGAGGGGTGGGTAGGGGCTGGGGTGGAAGGAGTAGATGGGAAGGATGTTGCAGTGGCAGAGGCAGCTGAGCAGATTCCCTCAACTTTGGATTTGAGGAAGCCCAGCATCGCCTCGCAGTTGGCATTTGAGGTGAGGATGGGTGAGGCGTGAGAGGGTGGGCGGAGGAGTCAGTTCGTGATGGAGAAAAGGAACCTGGGGTTGTCCTCCATCTCCAAGATTATCCAAGAATAGGCAATAGAATACAGATATATCTACAACTATGCGATATATGTGAAAAGTTCAACAATACTTCCACTTTTAAACATCCGAGTACTACTAGAAGCATGTTGACTTTGTAGTTTGATAGCTCCTAGTTATTATCATGTACATATTCTGAAAAAAACCTAAAAACTCATTAAGAGCGAGAAAAAGGAGTTTGAGGGTAAGCTAACTAGAAACATTAAGTCAGATTGTAAAAGTTTTTACAAATACATTAAGAGTAATAGGCTAGTGAGGGTAAATGTAGGTCCACTTCAGTCAGAGACTAGAGAAGTTGTAATGGGGATAAAGACATGGCAGAGTCCCTAAATGGGTACTTTGCATCTGTCTTCACCCTAGAAAACACAAGTCTGCCAACAATAGAGATGCACCAAGGGGTTAAGGACAGGGAGCAACGTAGGGAAATTTTCATTAGTAGAGAATTGGTGCTAGGATGACTGTTAGGACTCAAAAGTGACAAATCCCCTGGTCCGGATGGCTTGCACCCCAGGCGTTTAAAAGAGGTAGCTTATGAGATAGTGGAGGCCTTGTGTCTGATCTTCCAAAATTCCTTGGATTCTGGAACAGTCTCCATGGATTGGAAGATTGCAAATGTCACACCATTATTTAAAAAAGGTGGAAAGGAAAAGATGGGGAACTATAGGCCAGTTAGTCTCACATCAGTGATAGGAAAAATTTTAGAATCATTGATTAAGGATGTGGTAGTGCGGTATTTAGAGGAGCACAATATAATTAGGCCAAGTCAACATAGCTTTACAAAAAGGAAGTCATGTTTGACAAATCTCATAGAATTTTTTGAGGATATTTCGAGTAAACTAGATAAGGGTGATGTGGTCTATTTGGACTTCCAGAAGGCATTCGATAAGGTGCCGCATAAAAGGTTAGTCCAAAAGATAGGGGCCCATGGAATTGGGGGGAGCATATTAACGTGGATTGGGGAATGGTTAACGGGTAGGAAACAAAGAGTAGGGATAAACGGGTCCTTTTCAGATTGGTGGGATGTGACTAGTGGAGTGCCACAAGGATCGGTCCTTGGGCCTCAGCTATTTACCATCTACATCAATGATCTAGCTGAGGACATCGAAGTTAATATATCTAAATTCGCAGATGACAGAAAACTAGGAGGAAGTGTCAAGACAGAGGATGACATTAAAAAAATGCAGCGCGACATAGATAGGTTAGGTGATTGGGCAGGTAGGTGGCAGATGAAGTATAATGTAGGGAAGTGCAAAGTCATCCACCTAGGTAGCAAAAACAGTAGAGCGGGTTATTTTTTAGAAGGGGAGAGATTGGAATGTGTTAGTGTCCAGAGGGACTTGGGTGTCTTGTACACCAATCACAGAAAGTTAGTCTGCAGATGCAGCAGCAATTAGGAAGTTGAACAGTATGTTAGCATTCATTATGAAAGGATTAGAGTATAGGAGTAGGGAAGTCTTGCTGCAACTGTATGGACCACACCTGGAATACCGTGTGCAGTTTTGGTCTCCTTATTTAAGGAAGGATGTACTTGCCTTGGAGGGGGTGCAGCATAGATTTACTAGGTTAGTACCAGGGCTGAAGGGGATGAGTTACGAGGATAGGCTGACCAATTTGGGCCTACACTCTTGAGAATATAGAAGAATTAGAGGGGATCTTATAGAAACCTATAAGATCATCAAAGGGCATGATAGAGTAGATAGTGGGAGATTATTTCCCCTGGTTGGAGAAACTAAAACCAGGGGTCACAACCTTAAAATCAGAGGCCAGCCCTTTCGCACTGAGTTGAGGAAGAACTTCTTCACTCAAAGGGTGGTGAAAGTATGGAGCTCACTACCCCAAAGGACTGTTGACGCTCAGTCCTTGAACATATTCAAGACTGAGATAGATATGTTTCTTTTTGCAAAAGGGATTAAGGGATATGGGGAAAGGCAGGGTTATAGTATTAGCTGAAGTTAGATTAGAAGATCAGCCATGATTGAATAGCGCGGCAGGCTCAAAGGGCCGAATGGCCTACTCCTACATGTTATGTTATGTTACGTTAATTGCCAACCTAGCAAGATTACTACTAGTGCAGTGTAAATGCTATGATTCCCCCCAAAATGCAAGGCTCTATCAGATACAATATGATCCTTGAGTTGATTATTATGGACTGAGCAGTAACTGTGTGGCCTGCAAATATTTTGCTTTCACTTCAGGCAAAATTGCTGTAATGTTAAACAGTTTTGGTCAAAGTAAATCGGACATTAATACAGTCTACTCTATCACAATTAAAGGGGTGTATGTGAAAAATCTTATAAGAAATAGGAAAAAGCTTTTTATAAAGTCATTGCCTTTTTAAAAAGATAATACTTTTGACTTAAACATATCAGGGAATCAATGGCATTTCAGCAGTGTGCATTTTGAAGATTTACTGTACAGGGATACAGTTAAAATGGTTTAAGGATTAATAAAGCACTCAGTGAAGCTGCAATGCCTTTGTGTCGCATTTGTAGCTTAATTGAAAATATTTTTCTTTTCGCCATCAATACATGTTCTGCGGATCCTAATACCATCAATGACTATGTAAGACTTAAACCATTAACATCCCATTTATTATTCGGGAAAGTTATGTTATCTTACTCACACCAGGCTGCACAAGCCTGTCACCCCATCCTCGCCCAATTCCATTGGCTCCCCATTTCCCAGGCGATCAAGTTCAAGATCCTAACGTTAAATCCTTACATGGTCTTTCCCCGTTCTACATCTGCTACATTTGTGACCTACTAACCCAACCAACCCAGCCAATCCCTCCCTTCAGTGGGCACTGACCTGCTTGACATCCCCTGGCACACCATTGGTTTTCAAGCTTTCAGCATTTCTGCCTCCCACTCTCTGAATGTTTATCCCAGAGTCCCTTCAAATCACTCCTTCCCTCACATCCTTTATGGTCTGCCTCAAGATCTTCCTCTTTGAGCCTGCTTTCTACCATCTTCAAATACAGAGAAGATATGGTTTCAAGCAGGATTGTAATATGTGGTGTCCTGTAGCTCAGTGGTTAGAGCATTTGCTTTGCAAGAGAGAGACCTGGGTTAAATTCTCGGCAGGGCAAAACCTTGTGTAAGTTTCCTTACTCCACAAGCCTGATGATAATCCCTCAAAAAAAAATAATAAATTGGTCATTTCAATCCACGATTATTTGTGGGACACTGCTGTGCACAATTGGCTGCCTCATTTTGCCCACAAATATATAGTCAATTCACTTTACAGTCTATTCTGTGAAGCGCTTAGAGACGTCGAGAAGACATGCGAGGATTATTATTATTATACTGCATGTTGATTTGATGTTCTGAGATACATTTAGATTGATGAAGACGCAAATGCCTAATCATCCATGTTCTGTATATCGGATTTTATGATGTAAAGTGTTTGTGACTTGCACTCAGTTAAAACTTCATCACTCTTTGTTACAGCTCTGTGGCGGAACAGCTGAAGTGGGGCGAGACAGTACAAGCAGAGGCATTTGACAGTGTCACAATTTATTTCAGTGATATCATCGGCTTCACTTCCATGTCTGCGGAGAGCACGCCTCTGCAGGTACAGCCTCAACAAAAGAGCACTCAGTATTGGCACCAACACAAATTTCACTTCAGAAAGAATAAATATTTTTACAACTTTCTGTAATTCAGCGTAAATCAGAACCCAAGTATGTACCTTACATTTTGTATGTGTGTATGTACCTTACATTTTAAGCCAAGGTCTAGACCCAGTGGAATTTAGCATTAAATGTGTTAATGTCACATTTCAGAGCTTCTTTAATAAAGTCTTTAATTTTGAAGTAGTTTTGCTTTTAAGTTACAATAATTTGATATAGTGCCTTTTATATCAGGAGGCCATCTCAAAGTGCTTCACAGAATATACTGTGAAGTGTGTAGTGACCTTGTGTTGTGTAGAAAAACACAAATTCAACATATTTATCAGTTTCGACCCAATAGTGCCTTTCATAACAGATGAATGTTTCAAAAATGTGTGTCTTTAGAACTATAGAAATTGATAGCACGGAAGAAGGTCATTTGGCCCACTGTGCCTGTGCTGGCTCTTTTAAAAGCAATCATTTCAGTCCTCATACCCCTACTATTCTAATAATCCTAATAATCTAAAAATACACAGTCAATCTACTTTACAATATATTCTGTGAAGCGTTTTGAAATATCTCAGCGCTATATCAAATGCAACGCTAATTACTTTTCATTTCTTCACCATTTCTTATTTCTACCGAGTATTGCTTAATTCGGTTTCAAGATAGTTCTTTTGTTTTTGCAGGTGGTGACCTTACTGAATGACCTTTACACCTGTTTTGATGCTATTATTGACAACTTTGATGTCTATAAGGTGTGTATGTACCTTACATTTTAAACAGCGGCAGAATGTTTAAAACTTATATGTAATAATGCTTGCATTTGATAAAATACTTTGAAACCTTTGAGATCTTGAAACATTTCAAAGTACTTCATACAATAAATTGGATTCACCTGAAGTGATTGCTCTCCTGTGGGGAGATGCACAGCTAAACGTTCCCACCAGCATCAAACAAATAACAATAAGATTTCCTATGAGCAAATTGGCTGCTGCATTTGCTTAAAATGGACACATTCATTACATGGTACAGTAAATCTCGACCACTGATCGTGGAGCAGGTGGAATGGAGGACATGAAGCAGGCTGGTGCCCGCTGAGCTGAGGGGAACATTGCTCTAGTTACTGCTGGTTAATCAGAGCAGCTCCATTTATACGACTGTTCCCTATGCTCTTATGACTCCAGTTGGTGGGTTTCACTCATACAGATCGAAGTATAAATAATGTGATTAACTCAAAAAATCTGACAACTGAAATTCCACATGGTCCGATGGCTCAGGATTGTGGGGAATTCTTAAATTTGGTTGTTTTTCCAGAAGTCCTTAAAAAGAACCGGCTTCCAAATTAAGACTGAATTTAAGATTTTCCATCATTCCACGCATTATCTTAAATTTTAAGACAAAATGGTCTTACTGACTTGGACTAAGTGCAATTTAGGAGCTGAAGTGAGGAAATTCTTTGCAATGTCTTCCCCACACATCTCCTTATTTGTCTGTGTGTACAGCCTTGTGTGTGTACATAGAAATGCCTTATTTTACTGAACTGGAGGAGCTTCCATCTTTAACAGTAACGTGAATTTATATAATATCCTTCACGGGTCTCAGAACATTGCACAACGGTGGAGTTGGACACTGAGCGAGGGAGAGGTGGCTACAGGCGCGGTCAAAGACAAGTGGAGACAAATTAAAGACAAATTAACACATTTATTTTCTTATCAGGTGGAAACCATTGGAGATGCCTACATGGTTGTCTCAGGCCTTCCTGTAAGGAATGGTAAACTCCATGCCCGGGAATCTGCCCGAATGTCCTTAGCGTTGCTTGAAGCAGTCAGATCATTTAAAATACAGCACAGACCCAATGACCAGCTGAAGCTACGAATAGGAATGCACACTGGTAAGTTTTAGGTGTTGGCCTGGTTGAGCAGCACTCCTATCTCTGAGTTAGAAGTTCAAGATCCTCGTCCTCACTTTTAAAGCTCTCCATGGTCTTGCTCCTGCCTGTCTCTGCGACCAACTAAATTATTACTGATCTGTCCGCTCCCTCCACTTGGCAAGCCCTGGTCTGCTCTGTGTCCCCTGTGCTGCCCGTTCAACCATCAGTGGTTGGGCCTTCAGCCTTTCTAACCCAGCCTCTGGAACTCCATCCCAGAACCTCTCCACCTCACGTCCTCCCTTGCCTTCTTGAAGATGCAGCACAGGACCTTTCTCTTTGACCGTACCTTCGGTCACCCTCCTACCTCGAGTCCCCCTTGCCCTCTACACCTCTTGACACTAACTCCTAGCTCAGGTGCAAACCCTTCACTGTCCAGCACCTAGGGATGTGCTCCTGATATGAAAGGCGCTATATAAATGGAATTTGTTGTTGTTGTTGCTGGATGTGTCTAGGCTGACACTCGAATACAGTGCTGCGGAACACTGCACTGTTATAGGAGGTATTCAGAAGGACTGGTCAGTTGGGGGGGAGAAGGTGACCAGGTCCAAAAGATAGGTCTTGAGGTGGATTTTGAGGCAGGCAGGGAGGGAGCAAGTCGGATTGAATTCCAGAAGGAGAAGGAGGCAGAATGGCAGAGTTAAAACTCACTGACCAGCAGTGCAGTGGATGGGCAGAGGACTTGAAGCAAGCAAAACAAACATTGGTTTCATTTATCTCACTTACTAAATCCCCCAATAAGTTTAAAAATGTCTTTTCTTTTTCCTCAGGTCCAGTGTGCGCGGGGGTTGTTGGCTTAAAAATGCCTCGCTATTGTTTATTTGGAGACACGGTTAATACAGCATCTCGTATGGAATCTACTGGAGAGGGTAGGTGGTGCCGTTAAGAAAGTGGTTAATTAACAAGCAGATCTACAAGCGAGATCTTCAGGAGGAACTTCTTTCCATAATGGGCAGTGAGAATGTGGAACTTAGTGCCAGATTAAATTTAAGAGGAAATTCAATCCATTCATGAATGGAGAGGGAATAGAGGGGTACAGGAAAGGGTATCAAGATGAGTGGCGGCTCATGTGAAGTGAAAACACCAGCTTTTGCTTGTTGAGCTGAATGTCTTGTTTCAGTGCTGTAATAGTTTATAGTAATTCTATATAATTAAGCTATTAAAAAGAACAGAGTGAGAAGAACCCCTTTTTTACCAAATGAAATGCTTTGGATCACTACAATAAAACGGCAAGATACTTCTCAATGTTGTCACACAAGGAGGTTCAATCTGTTATCAACTGTCTTTGGTCATTCGCTTCACAGCTATTTGTGGGATATTGCTGAGCATTAATTGGCTTCCGTGTGAAGCGTGTTGCATCTGCATCTATTACTCTCTGAAATTAGGTAAGCAGAGTGCATCCCTCCGAAGAGAGAGTGTACATCCCTTTCCAGATACAGGGAATCTTCCATGCATAGTTGGCATACATATTAGAACTTTCAAAAGGCAAAATACTGCAGATGCAGGAAATCTGAAACAAAAACAAGTCGCTGGGATCACTCAGCGTGGCAGGCAGCATCTATGGAGAGACAAAATTGAGTTGTATTCCTCTCTCCATAGATGCTGCCTGACCTGCTGAGTGTTTCCAGCGAATTCTGTTTTTATTGTGGAATTCTCAGTCTGGTTTGGACAAAGCAAGGTTTCTGCAGGTATCAGACACCCGGTTGATCAAGAAAGAAATTTTAACATTCACAGCTCCTTAGAAAGAATTAATTATTTCCAATGCTGCTTCATCTTTGTGTGGCCTGTGTTTTTGAATGCGTGTCACAGCTTGAAGTATTCTATTCAGGGTCACAAGCTCGCTTTTTGTGCAGCAAAAATAAATTAAATTGCTTGTAGGAAAGAGTAACGAAAACAAAACTGGACTGTTTTGAGAAGAGCCACTTGCACCCAATTCTTCACTGTTTATCCTGAAGAATAAAGCATTTTGGTCCAAAGTTCTGTACTTAAATTGGGATCTTTTATGTCCCCCGATGGAATTTGACCACAAAAAATCTCTCCAAAGTATGTTGTAATTCAAACATATAAGAATGTTTTACAATCACTTCATGGTAAGCTGCCACAATCGAGCCTTGCATTGTATTTTTATTTACAAACCCCTGCTTCCTTGAAAGCTGACCTATGGCACAGATTAATAGTATTTTGCAACCTCTCCTTGCAAATAAATTGCGAAAGGCTGCAAAAAAATGACTCCAGTAGGCCAGAATTTGGAAGAATTGTTTGCTGTTCTGATGTTAGATTTGGAGGACGTTCCTAAAATATTATATATGCAAAAAATCTCAACACAAAACAAAGCACTGGAGCTAAGAAACCTGCCAATTGATGTTAGTTCACATGATACCAGTTTATCTCCCTTTTTGTTTACTCTGCCGTATATAAAATGCAATCAATGACAAGCCATGTGGTTTTAGTTGGTTAGACAATGTACACTATGAGGTCCCAAACCTTCACTCTTGCCAACCTGTTCCTAGTGCTTTCTATAATTAGCTAAGCAGGATGTGTCCCTCCAGGGAGAGTGCACATTCTATTCCAACAATCTGTATCTGGGATTTCCATGTGTAGGTGGAATATATGGAAATTTCAACTTGGTCTGGATACCCTTAAGTATTGTGATGGGTTTCCACATGGATCAAACACTATTAATATTGTTGATTGTCCTACCTTGTCTGTACTGATTGCCCACATTTTCTCTCCCTTCCTTTTTTTTGTAGCCTTGAAAATCCACGTATCCTCGGCAACCAAAAGCGTTCTGGATGAGTTTGGAAGTTTTGAACTGGATCTCCGTGGAGATGTGGAAATGAAGGTACAATTTATAGTCGGTTTGGTTCCCAGCAACATTTTTATTGGAACTTTTATTGAGCCAAGCAGTTGTTTGCATCACCAGTGGGAAGACATCCATCATGACTAATTTTAAAGCATTATTCATTTCTTTTATCTTTGATGTGCGAAATGCTTAAATATTTTAAATGGAACCACTTGCTTTTAATTCGTAAACAAGAAAATTGGTCTTTAACAACCCACACCACTGATTAATTAATGTGCGAAAGATTGAATCCTTGTGGAATTAATTAAATATACAATCTCTACATAATATATAGTCCCCTTCACACGGGAAACGTCTTGGGGTGCTTAACAGTGGTGTGACACTGAGCTGGAAAGAGTGGGAAAGCATGGTTGAAGAGGGAGGTCTTCAGGTGTGAGTTGAAGATGGGCAAAGAGCGGGCAAGATGGAAATATTGAGGCAGGGATTTCCAGAGATTCGGGGCACATTGGCTGAAACTACAACCACACAATCGTCACATTCACATACACACACGTTCCTGAATGTGTCAGTCGGCATATGAATCACTTAAAATGTCCAGGTTGCATTCCAATCCCTGCTGTGTGAGTTAGTGCTAGGCAGGGAAGCAATGGGGCTACTACAACTAGCTTCAGCACCCGAAGCAAAACAAACCAAAGGAAGATTTTGGTCAGAGTGATATCCTTGGACTCCTGCTGGCATACAAATGTGTGCACTGGCACCTTCCATTGGCTTCAGGAGTGGAAGGGAAAGAAGAAGTTGTGGAAGGAACAAAAACATTCAGCTCATCAAAGCAACTTGTTTTATAGAGTTTGCACAGTATGTCAAATCCTGTTGGGTTGGGTAGCATTATGAATCAGGGCTTTTTCCCTTAGATGCTTGTGTTTTGTGCAGGCTAGATTGGTGAGATGAAAAGTTCCTCTCTCTGCTGTCTGAGGAGTTCTCCCATGTAAAGTCTTCCAACAATCTCAACCCAATTCCAAACGGCCCACATTGCTAATCTGGCTGCACTTCAGGTCATGACGATCGACATTCGAGAAGCTATAAGGATGGCTATTGTGAGAAATGAAATTAAAACTGTGCTGGTGCAATAGCAATGCTCTTTGGAGGATTTGCTCACATTTTGGAATAAACCAGAGGGAGGAAGCTTTGTTCTTTGTCTGTCTGCTTTAAGGGATTAGAGGAACTAGACTTATTTTAATTGGAACAGAGAAGGTTGAGGGGTGATTTGAAAGAGGCCCTTAAAATTAAGAAGCGTTTTGATGGAGTAGAATGTGAGAGATTATTTCCATTATTTCAGTCAGTGACTAGGGGCATCTATTTAAGATCGTTAGCAAGGTAGCAAAAGAGGGAGGTTAGGAGCAATATTTTTACATGGAGAGTTGTCAGGGTGTGGAATGTTCTGCCAAGTGCAGGATTCGAGGCAGAAAACATATTAGCTTTCAAGAGAGAACTAGATAGATAACTAATGTCAAGCGCTCTGAGACTCTACCCTGACGCCTTCATCTGTGCTGTAAAATGTCTGTGTTTCTAAGGATGACCTGGATGAGCCTGATGCTGACCTTGAGTGTCCAAAACATTAACTTTCTCAGCTTAATGACTAACCCGCCCTCATAAAACATATTTAGAGGGATTAATCAGTAATACTGCTCACTTGGGACATGAGGTCTTGATCTGAAAGTTTTCCAATGGTCTCAGTGGATTTTATTTAGCTCTGCTTTGGGCCCATGACCAGGAAGGAAGTGAAGACAATGTCAACCCTTATATGATTATTTCTTCTCAGCTGTTGCTTGTCAACTGAGCGAATCAATGTGAATGCAGACGAGGAGTGCAATTGAATTACGCAGACTTTAATTCTGTTGTTTAGTTCAGCTTTAGTGTTTTTTGTTCAGAGTGCAATTAATAGCTGGAACAGGTTGCCAGGAAGGGGGAATGGGGTTGAAGCCGGGACACCAGACTCAATTAAAAAGCAGCTTGATGCTGTGATGGGAGGAAGGTGGGTATTCTGGAGGGATGAAACCAGATGGACCGAAGGAACTTCTTCATCCAAAGCAATCTTGTTAGGTCTAATTATTGACTGGCATAAACCAAATTCCTCATGTTGATTGCCACTCCTCTGCCCCCCAACCCCTCGCTGTTGAAACTGACCTGCTGCGCATCCCCTGACCCCTCTGCACTACCATCAGACCGATCTTGTAAGGTCTAATTATTGATTGTCAATGAAGCATTTGCTTTTAACTTGTAAACAAGAAAAATGATCATTAGCACCCACACCACTAATTAGTTAATGTGCAAAAGATTGAATCTTGGTGGATTTCATTAAAAATTACAACCTCTACATGATATATAGCGGTCAACGAGGTAAGTCAAAGACGGGATTTGGGGGAATGTGAAATAAAAACAGGAAATGCACAGGAAGCCAATTTGTCAGAGTCAGAATCGTAGCTCGTACAGCACAGATAGAGGCTATCAGAGATATATGAGTTAACAACTCAAGCATGACCTTTCACCAGTGAAGTGAGTGACCTTTGCTCTGTTTTCTTTTGAAGGGTAAAGGCAAAATGAGGACATATTGGCTGCTCGGCGAGAGAAAACATGTTCTCGACATCTGAAGGAAAAATCAGTATGTGAGTTGCCTGCACAGTATTATACTGCAGAGCAGTGATTGTTAAAGCTACAGTTTTATTTGTTCCAAAAATAAACTTTGGCTATGTTGATTTCTGGAGAACAGATCTTATGCAAAATATCAGTAGCATAGAAGTATTCCGGGTATGTTTTATACCTGAGCAAAGCTGCAAAATATGTCATTTTTATTAAGATCTTTTTCTTCTAAGTGAATACTTTTCAACAATAAACCCTTATTTTTTGTGCTTTCTATATTAAGATTTATATAATGTGTTTGAGAAGATATGTAAATATATTTTCCCCTTCTACAAGCTGTATATACTGTGTATCAAGATATTGCTAAATATTTTGTTCAAATAAACCCAATAAAAACCTGCCTGATCATCATTTCATTTAAGTGCTAGGTATACCTATATGCAAAACACAGTCAATCCACTCTACAATATATTCTGTGAGGCACTTTGAGACGTCTCAATGACACGATAATAATAATAATAATAATAATCCTTGCATTTGATATAGCGCTTTTCACGTCGGGAGGACGTCCCAAAGCGCTTCACAGAACACACTGTAAAGTGAATTGACTGTATATTTGTGGGCGAACGCGGCAGCCAATTGTGCACAGCAATGTCCCATAAACAGTCGTAGATTGAAAATGACCAATTTATTATTGTTTTTGGTTTTGGAGGGATTATTATTATCTTTTTAGACAAAGTATTTTAGACAAAGTATAACTACACTTTGTCTAAAATACTCTGAATTATAGCTAAAGTGAACATGTTTTGGCAATAGAGTAGGTCAGATATGGTTAACAGCTAACACTATGAAGCCATGAAAATAGTACAAAGTACACCATGTTCTAAAATCTAGTGATTGTCCCCCTTGGGGGGGAAATGGGAGTTTTGGAACTAAAATGGCTCCAAAGGTGACATATTTAGCAACAGAATGTGGGATTTGAGTTAACTCTTTGTGGTGGTCTTGGTCAGCGGGTTCCTGAGCCAGACAGTTCTGGCGTACTCAGAGGACACTGCTGATGATGGACCAGCCAGTCTGGCTCATTGGTAGGACTTCAATGGACAGACCAGTCACTGGGAGCAGGAATGCTTCCCATTCAGCTCCTGTTAATCTTGCAAGCCAAAGCCCTAATCAAACTTTTTCATGAAATGTAAATGAAAACTCTGAATGTTGGAAATCTGAAATCAAGAAGAGGAAATGCTGGATATACCCCGGTTCGATCCGATAGTGGAAAATAAAAGATTAGGTTAACATCTTTAGTTCTAAACATGAACCTGTCGGTGTATTTCAGAAGAAACCTCACAAACCAATTCTCTTATACAACACACAAACATAGACACATAGGAATGTACAGCAGCACTAAAGATCATTGGCAAGACTCCAATTTAGATACAACAAATAATAAGTTATTCCTTCACAATTTCATCTCCCATACTGATTTATTTGACAAATATTTCTCTACTTTCTATTTGACCTATTGACACGGTCTGCCTCTCTGTTTCCATTCATTCGTTATTCCACATTTTCGCTCCTTGCTGGGAACACATTGAGTTATTCCTACAAGCTCATATTGTGCTGGTGATAATGGAAGGAACGGTAAGGAAAGTGCACTTAAAGCCTTTCCTTCTTTATCCTTGCAATGACAAATTTGTATCATAAAACACACAAACACATTCTCTCCCAGACTTCAGGACAATGGTTATTTCCTCAGCTTTCTCACAATCAATTTGGCCACCATGTTTTTCTTCTATTTTATGCTAAAGATAATTATTTTAAAATTTGGGATCAGACGTCCCTTAATAATAACAACAATAATACACTTGCATTTAATATAGCACGCTTCACATTGGGAGGATAGTTCAAAGTTTCACAAGATTTTAGGGCAAAGTGTAGTGACAGTGCACAATATGTATTTTGTAGGTGAACACTGATTCCTTTCATAAGTAGAATTGCAATCTGTCTAGATTGTTTTTCCGTTACATCTAGTGTCCATTTAATAAAATTGGAACAGGAGGAGGCCATTCAAACCATCAAACCTATTCCACTAGTTTATTCGGTGTATTACAAGTCTTCCCTGCCTATTCTCTTGTCCAGTATTGCAGCAGTTTTGTTCCTGGTTTTGTTCCTGTACAGATAAATTATTAAAAGTGGAATGAATGTCAATGCATTATTATGCATCAGAATCATAGAATTGTACAGCACAAAAAGAGGCCATTGGGCCCATCGAGTCTGTGCCGGCTCTTTGAATAGAGCAATTAATGTCAATCCCACTCTCCAGCCCTTTCCCCATAACCCTGCAAACCTGTCCTCAAATACCCGTCCACTGCGTTTTTAAAAGTAGTTATCGAATCGGCCTCCACCACCCTTTCAGGCAATGCGTTCCAGATTCGAACAACTCGCTGCGTGAAAAAATTTCTTCTCACCTCCCCTCTGCTTCTTTTAGATACTATTTTGAATCTGTGACTTCAAGTCATCGACACACCCACCAGTGGAAACAGCTTTTCCCTTTCTAACCTATCAAATTCCCTCATGATTTTGAAGACCTCTATTAGGTCTCCTCGTAACCTTCTCTGCTCCAATGAGAATAATCCTAACCTCTCTAACCTTTCCTCATAATCAAGGTCCCTCATTCCTGGTACCATCCTCGTAAATCTCCTCTGCGCCCTTTCCAATGCCTCTACATCCTTCCTATAGTGTGGTGCCCAGAACTGGGTGCAGTATTCTACCTGAGGCCTCACCAGTGTTTTATATAGGTTAATCATAACCTCCTGACTCTTGTACTCTATGCCCCTACTTATAAAGCCTAGAATCCCATTTGCCCTTTTTACAGCCTTATGTACCTGTCCTGCCACCTTCAAGGATTCATTTACCTGCACTCCTAGGTCTCTCTGTTCTTTTACCCCCCTTAAGATTGTAAGGGATAATGCCATCCACCTGACCGCTCCCGGTCCCCGGGTGCGCACTATGGCTGCCGCTTTAACCCGAGCCCCCTCACCCCCTCCCTCCCTCCCCCCTCCTCTCTCCCCCCAAACCCTCCCCCTCTGCATCTCTCCCACTCTCTCCTCCTCTCTCTCCGTCCCTCTCGTCTTCTATCCCCACTTGACCCTCCCACAACCTCCCTCTGTTCCAGGCTGGGAATCCTCCGCCGGACTCACTGTGGCACTCGGCGTTGGCTGTCCAGCAGCAGCCACACCGACTGCCCCATTCCCCACCACACTCGCCAGCCACCCCGGACACAGACCCGGGGAGTCAACCTCTCCTCCCTCATCCCCATTCCCCCCACCCCTGCCTCACAACCTGGACCCCCTCCCCTCCCACACACCCTTCTGTCAACCGCTCCCTCCACATCGGACTGCAAAATGTCCGCTCCCTCTGCAACAAGGCCCTGGTCATCAACGATCTCATCCTTGATGAGAACGTTGATATCATGGCCTTAACGGAAACCTGGCTCACCCCAGGCGACACCTTCCCCCTCACGGAGGCCACGCCACCCGGCTACACCTCCCACCACATCCCCCGCCCCAACCGCCGTGGCGGTGGTGTTGCCCTTATCTCAAGGACACCACTTGCCCTATCCCCCTACTCCACTGGCTCTTTCCCCTCCTTTGAACATCTCACCCTCTCCCACCCCTCATTCCTCTCCCTTAAAATCCTCCTCCTCTACCGGCCCCCTAAAACCTCCCCCACCTTCATCTCTGACATTTCAACACTTTAACCTACACTTCACCCCCTCCTGCTCCATCTCCACAGACTTCTCTTCCCTGCTCTCCTCACTCAACCTCTCCTTACACATAAACTCCCCCACTCACAGTCACGGCCACCCACTCGATTTGGTGATCACCCGGGGCCTCAGTGTCTCGGATGTCACTATTACCGACAAGGCCATCTCTGACCACTACTTCATCTCCTTCACCACCTCCACCCCCCTCCCCACCTCCACCAGACCCACCACCATCTTCTACCGCCCTTGGAAGAAGTTACCCCCACAATCCCTAACCGATGCCTTGGAGTCCTCTGAACTCCTCTCCCTCTGGCCTTCAACCCTCACCGACCCCTCTTCTCCTCTCTCCCTCCTCCACAATACCCTCTCCTCCACACTCGATACTCTTGCCCCCATCACTTCCCGCACTGTCTCCTACTCCCGCTCCTCCCCCTGGTACACCACCCACCTCCGCTCACTGAAAAGCCAGGTGCGGGCTGCTGAACGCACCTGTGTCAAATCTGGCCTAACGGTCCACCGACAAATCTGGCTGGACCTCCTCAAAATTTACCGCTCCACTCTAGCCTCGGCCAAGTCGTCCTTCTACTCCAGGATAATCCTGGAGGCGAAGAACAACCCCAGGCTACTGTTTTCCACCACAACCCGACTCCTCCGTCCCCCCCGCCACCCCGCGCAGGTCATCTCCTCCAACCTTCACTGCGAGGAGATGCTGGATTTCCTTGAATCCAAGATCAAGGGAATCCGCTCCGCGGTCACTTCCCCTCCAACTTCCACCCACCCCTTCCCTCCCACACTCCGACTCCTACCCATCCTCCCCTACACACCTTCGTACCCGTTTCCCCACCCTCTGTCACTGAACTCATCCTATCCCTAAAACCAACCACCTGCTCCCTTGACCCCATCCCCACTCCACTCCTTATCTCCCAGCTCCACTTTCTTGCCCCACATATCACTGACATCATCAACCTGTCCCTCTCCTCTGGCTCTGTCCCCATTCCATTAAAAACTGCCATCATCACGCCCACCCTGAAAAAACCCTCCCTTGATGCGTCGCAGCTATCAAGCTACCGGCCCATCTCCAACCTCCCCTTTCTCTCCAAGGTCTTGGAAAGAGTTGTCGCCTCCCAACTGCGCTCTTTCCCTTCCACCCATTCTCTTTTCGAACCCCTTCAGTCAGGTTTCCGTGCTGCCCATAGCACAGAAACTGCCCTGGTCAAGGTCACCAATGATATCCTGACCATCTGTGACCAGGGCTCCCTCTGTCTCCTCGTCCTCCTCGACCTATCGGCAGCATTCGATACGGTCGACCACGCTATCCTACTCCACCGCTTGTCCTCCCACCTCAACCTTCAAGGCACTGTCCTTGAATGGTTTAGGTCGTACCTTTCTCACCGTCTTCACTTTGTCTCGACGAATGGCTTCTCCTCCACCCCCCGTACTGTCTCATGTGGTGTCCCTCAGGGCTCTGTCCTCGGTCCCCTCCTCTTCACCCTCTATATGCTCCCCCTCGGTGACATCATCCGCAGACATGGAGTTAACTTCCACATGTATGCGGATGACACCCAACTCTACCTCCTCTACTCTCAACTCCACCTCTACTCTCCTCCTCTACTCTCAACTCCACGACCACCGATGTCC